TTCCTGGAGACCAAAACAGCAATGAATATCAAATAAAATTAGCAATGTTGCGGCTTCCGCGACAAATCTGTTTTCGGCCTGTTGCGGAATCCGCTTACAATTCACAAAACACACAGTTTGGCCCGTAATGTTAATTATTATATCAATGGAAACATTTTAAACTCTCGTAGTGCTAAAAATAAAAAGAAAAAAACGAAAATTGTTTAAGATGCAGTCGCGTAGCAGACCGAAGAGGAGTCGCCGCAGCTAAGCGAACTGATAGTGAGATGGGCGACAGTATGGGAGGCTGCCTTATTGCCGACATAATAAATTGGATTAGAGGCTGGTGAAATGAATGCATAAATCAAAAATCTGGATTCGCTCTTTTTGCAACCTGGAATGAGCGACAAACAAAAAAGTTGAAAGCTGGCAGTATTTATATGTTTTTCTTTTACAATAGCAAACTTCATGTGAAAGAATTTTGAATGCTAGAACAAATGTAAAACAAAACTGCTCGTATCAGGGCGAAGCCCTCAATGTTCCGACTGAATTTTAAAGTTTATAGAACAGTAATAACCTATAAAAATTAAATGTAAAGTATTCAAAAATTTTTAAAAAAATTCAAAAATTTGAAATTTTAAATAAAAATCATACCCCACACGCCATATAAAGTACAAAAGGATAGATTTCGCTACTTGTAACAAATCAATTATAGCAAATAAGCTTCTTTCAACTAATTTGGAACGCTTGTTAAGACGGATTAATTCTCCGCTTACGCGTTAATAGCGCGAAATATATTGCGCATTAAATGTCCCAAATTGGCCAAAATGGCAATCTTCAAACCCCCATAACTTAACGAAAAAGGATCACAAGTGAAAAAATATCTTTTTTAGTTTAAGCTCAGGGCAACAATACCTTTTGAATGATATAAAAAACTCCGTCAAAAATGGCTAGTTAAAAAGTCGAAATTTGTCTGAAGAAAAAAAAACACCCCGAGCGAGCACAAATATTCTGTTACTTTCGTATCAAAAATCGGAACAATTAGGTCTTTTTAGATATGCTTCCTGTCTAAAAACTTAATCTATTCTGAGCTATTTTTGCGCCAAGGAGGCCAATAGAAGACTTTATGGTTAGACTACCAATAACCTGGTTTAACCTAAAAGACCCAAAAAAGTTCAGCTTTTAAAACTTTTTCGAATTTCAAACTCATACTGACCTTCGTTTAACTGGAGCGAGTAGTGCAAAAAATGCCTCAAGAAAGACAAGTCTGCTCGTATCAGGGCAAGGCCCTGAATGTTTCGATTGCTTTTAAGGTCTATGGGACAGTAATAAAATGAAAAGTTACATGTAAAAAATAAATTTATATTTCTTTAATTTAAGATTTTTGCAAAAATCATCCCCCCACACGCCATTTAAAGTACAAAGTGATAGATTTCGCTCCTAGTATTACATCAATTATGGCAATAAGCTTCGTTCAACCAATTTGAAACAAATTTTAAGACGGAATAAATCTCGCTTACTAGTTAATAGCGCGAAACATATCGTGCTTTAATTGTCCCACATTGGCCAAAATGGCAATCTTTAAACCCCCATAACTTACGAAAAAAGTTCACAGGTAACATATTGTTTCAAATTTAAGCTCAGAACAACAATATCTTTCGAATGATTTAGAAAAATTCCGTTAAAACTGGCTAGTTAAAAAGTCGAAATTTGTCTGAAGAAAAAAAACCCACCCGAGCACATATATTCTTCCATTACTTTCGTTACGAAAGTCGGAACAAATAACAACAGTAGCGTGTCAATTTTTTTAGAAAATTTTTTTCTTGTAGTTTTTAAAATTCATTGCTGCGGCTTTCCCAGAAATAGACGGATTATATTTGTGCTCGATGTGTAGTATCTGAGTTCAAATTGAAACAAGGGTAGCCGATTACTGTGCAAGTAGCACAGAATGTTCCGACAATGGTCTTAAAAAACTACAAGAAAAGGCTTTTTTTAAACTAATTTAACTTCCTTAAAGTTAAGTTTTCAGCGCTTAAGCTGTTGTATTCTTGATCGCTTCCTTTTCAATGGCCGGAACAAAAAACCGAATTTGATAACTTTTGCGCAATATTACTCGTAACGCTGAATTTGTGCTCAGCGGCTATTGAATCTATCCCAAAAACTGCTGCATATTGAGTTGAGCTGAGGATTTATATATAAGAAAATTTATACGATAGGCTAGATCTCAAGTTCAATGTAATCAAATTTCTCATTATTGTTCCGTTTTTCCCGTTTTTAGACCAATTATACAAAAATAGTCCCACGTAATAATTGTTTTAACAAGCCGGTAGCCGAGAATTGTCCTTTGTTCAGCAAACATAAAGCTTGCCAACAGAGGGTAGAAAATTTGATACAAAATTTAGAGCCGGTTATCGCTTTTGATGAGCGTTACGTTACCCGTACGCGATGCGCGCCAAAATGAAACCACAATTTTGATCTACTAAAAGAGCAAGCTGAGCAACGGATACAATGAACGAATACAATGACTGTGTTGAACTAAACGACTAAAATAAACACTGATTTGAAACCGAAAAGTAATTACCCGAGTTGACCTCCATACACCGAAAATGTTTATCATACAATTCCATACAACAAAAACTATTATCATACAATTCCATTTATCAAGTCTACGGAGAAAATGATTATCATACAATTTTATACATTTTCAAAAAACAATCGACAAAAAGTATAAATAATTTCTGCAGCTGTTTGAGCACTGTTGAACAGAAGACTGCTGATGGAAAAAACTGGCTTGAATTTTTTTTTGAAAAACATGCTTACCATACAATTTCCATATAGGAAAATTGTATGGCAAGCATTTTCGCCATAAAGAGTTATTTTTTCGGAATTTTTTGAATACTGGTTGTTTGAAACTTCATATGAGTTGATACTAATTTCTCAACAAATCAGAGCAAACTGCCGTTGAACATGAAAAAAAGCAATCTGGAAAAACTTCATGACCTTGTATAAAAATACCGTTCTTGACTTTTGCAAAGAGTGTTTAATTGACCCAATTGAAAGTTTGACCTAACAAAATACAATTTCTACTCTTTCTAGATCTTTCTAGATAGTTTTTGATCTTTCTAGAGTTAACGTGAAGGCTAATTAGATCATTAACAACCCAACACTGGTTTTAGGTTCTTGAAATTTTCTCGTTTTCTTAGACATTCAACAAATGAAACATAAATCGAGTACTCGGCTGCTCGGCTAGAAGCACATGTAGCTGCGCCGTTTTTACGTTACTCTTTTCGGTCAATTGAAATGAGTGTAGGTCCGGAGTGGCCTTTTCACGGAGTAATTTTGGATACGGTCCGCCGTCTGTTCATCACGTTATCTTGTTTTCGGCCGGATAGACTCGTGCAACTTTTTCGTCTAATACCAATCCCAATCTCGACCTTTGCCAACCTTTCTTTTAGGACGACCAAATTGGTCCCTGTATTGGCCAATTTCTTTGCGCAGCAAACAAAATTTTGAAAAAAAAAACAGATCAAAAAAGGCGTTTTTAGGCACTTTTTGAAAGCTTTGACCAAAAAAATTGCGTTGTTTCGGCGGGCGCCCCTCCCTCAAATTTAGTGTATATTGGCACCAAAGACCCCTTTAGACAATTTTTAGGGTCTGTAACATAAAATGGATATTTCAAAGTAGTTTAAAGGGCGGAAAACAAGCTTACCATACAGTTTCTATATATGAAAGTTGTATGACAAGCCTTTTCGCCATGAGGAAAAATTTTTCCGGAAGCTTTTTGAAAACCGGTTGTTGGAAACTTCAAATGAGTTGGTAGCAGTTTCTGAACAAAGGAGAGCAAATTGCCAAATTGCCATTGAATATCAAAAAACAATTTGGAAAACTATTAGTTTTTATGGCCTTGTATAAAAATACCGTTCTTGACTTTTTCAAAGAGTAAATTAATTGACCCAATTGAAAATTTGAATTAACATGACGCAATTTTTAATCAAAATTTTGATCTTTCTAGATTTAACGTGAAGGTCAATTAGATCAATAACAACCCAACACTGGTTTTGGGTTCTTGAAATTTCTTGATTTCTTAGACATTCAACAAGTGAAGCAGAAAATTAAGAAGCTGAGGTTGCAATTTCTAAAACAAACTTTTTTTTCTCAGCTTTTCTTTTCTGTTCACAGATTACACGGCTTATTAGTTTTTTTTGTCATACAAGTTAAAATCAAAGCAAAGTGTTTTCAATTGGCAAAAGATAGATGAAGCAAAACCAGCTTTTTTTCAACGCTTATTTTTTGAAGGTTTTGTGTGGAGAAACAAAGATCTTACAGCTTCAATTTTTTTTGTCCAATGACTGCACAACGCCACCAAAGTCAATGTCAAAAAGTTCAAGAGCGGATCTAGGATTTTCTCGACAACTTTGACTTTTTTTAGGCCGACCAAATTGATTTTTCGATCTCTCCGAAAGCACTGTTTTTCCCCATTTTGGGTTAAATTTTCAGCGACAGTCAAAAAAGCCGTTTTTGGGCACTTTTTAAAAAATTTTGACAAAAAAATCGCGTTTTTTGGCGCGCGCTCCCTCTCAAAGTTAGTATATATTGGCGCCAAAGGCATCTTTAGAAAATTTTAGGGTCGGTCGGCTAAAAATGGATTTCTTAAAAAGTATCTAAGGGGGACCCTTTGGGTCAGCAGGGGGTCGAATCCCTGATAAGGGGTAAGCGTCCGACTCCCCGCCCCCCCTTAATCCGCCCCTGATGGGCTTCAATGTAATTTGTGTCGCATTTGAAAAAAGAATTCCGAAAACCGTTTGTCACACAATTTCCATTTATGGCAAAAATGTTTGTCATACAATTTTAATTTATTGGAAAATGTTTATTATAGAGATTTCATACAATTTTCGGTACGTATGGAACTGTATGGAATTGTATGACAAAGAATTTCCCACTTATGAGAATTGTATCACAAGCATTTTTGGTCAACCCGGGTAAGTTATTCATCTTGGATTGCGTTCATCTTGAAGTTAAAATTAAAGCAAAGTGTTTTCAATTGGCAAAAGTTAGATGAAGCAATACCAGCTTTTTTTCAACGCTTATTTTTTGAAGGTTTTGTATGGAGGAACAAAGATCTTACAGCTTCAATTTCTTTGTCCAATGACTGCACAACGCCTTCAAAGGCAATGTGAAAATGTTTTTTCTATGTTTCCTTTTTCAGTTCCACTTAGTGCTTTCAATCACTGTTCTATATTTCTGGGAATGTTGGGTCAATTGTATTGGGCCAGTTGAGAGAGTAGGTCTGGGTATACGGAGTAGCGACAGTCCAGACCCCATGCAAAGTCGAGGTGGTTGAACTGGTCGTACTGTCTGCTGAAGACTACATGGCCCAACTCCTTCTCTAACCACGCCACGTCCAGAGGGTCAGCCAGGGCATCCTATAAATGATTCAGTAAAAATATCACATCTGAGGCCCTGAGAGGCATTGCAATGACTTTCTAATGCATTTTTCCAAACCGGCTTAATAACCTGATTACAAAATGAAATTAAAAAGGGAGAAGGAAGGGTAGATAATGGTTAAATTAATGAGAATTTTGCGCAGAATATCATTTATGAAATCAGGAAAGTGCCAAAATCATCTTCGAACTTTTTTTCAATAACTATTTCGTACACAAAGGCCCCTTAGAGTGAAGGAGTGTGTAGTGTTTACTTCACTTGACCTGTTTTCCGTGGAAGAGGGCGGTGGGGATGGTGACGTTCCAGGCATTGTAGACGGGGGGAGTGGGGGTGCCGTAGTGTTTGTTGTTCTTGTGTCTGCTTCCCCAGTCGTATGCCTGGAAAACTCCACTGTCTACTTGCTGTGCATAGTGGTTCACCTAGCAAATAAATTGAAAACTAGTTTCAGGCTGAGAAAAACAATTTTGTCATGTTTGTTATTTATAGTCCTAGTTTAAGCATAACTGGATCTATTTAGCTGTTTCCCCCCCCCCCCCCGGGATGACCAAAAATACTAGTCATACAATTTCCATATATGGAAAAATGCTAGTCATACACTTTCCATGCAATTCCATACGTACAGAAAATTGCATGAAAGGTCTATGATCAGGTCTATGAAATTTTTGAAAAAACAGGTCAAAAAAGCCGTTTTTAGGTCAAAATGATTTTTTAAATTTTAATTTCTCAAAACTTTTTGATTGTGTTCGTAACCGAACCGAATGACATAAACCTTGATTATTCAAACGTAGTAACCAACGGTTTGGCCGTCTCGCATTAAAAATCCATTGGAAACAGCCTGATATGGTATAACGAAAGTAATGAACTTTTAAGTTTTGGCAATAATTTTCAAAGATGATTATTTCTAAAATTTGATTTTTTAATTTACCAGACATTGATCAAGGCATACAAAAACATTTCATACAGTAGAAAGAGGAGTTTTAAGCGTTTTTGAAAAAAGTTATGAAGAGAAAAGGAAAAAAAATCCAATATTAGTATATCCAGGACTACGTTATACACACAAAAAATTAAATTTTGCATGCAAAATTTTTTTTTGCAAAAATTGTTTGTTTGAATACGAAAATCAATTTGCGGTTGGAAAAAAAACACGAAAAATTTTTGGGGGCAATTTCAAAAATTCTTAGAAAAATTTTTGTCGTCGCCATCAAAAAAATGCTAATCATACAATTTCCATATATGGAAATTGTATGACTAGTGTTTTTTTTCAGAAAACAAAAATTAAAAAAGTCAGTTTTCAGCAGCCCAAAAACGCTTAAATGTTTTGCCAGCAGTTGAATTGATTATTCAAAGCTTTTTTTCAAAAAAAAGTTTAAAAAAAATTCTTAGCATTTTTTTTCATACAATTTTTTTTCCTTTTTTTAATGAAGAGATACCAATTTCGATACCAAAACAACTATAAAATACCTTTGAAACTCGATTAAACTCATTTTGCAAAAATGTATGAAATTTGTATGACTAGCATTTTTCCATAGACTACGTGTATGAAATTGTATGATTAGCATTTTCGGTCTATGGAGGTCAACCCGGGCCTATTGCAGCCGGTGATCTTAGGTTAAAAAATATGCGCGATTAGGGGGCCAAACTGTGCATTTTGTGAATTGTAAGCGGATTCCGCAACAAGGACGCTCCTTTTGTTGTTTTTTGTTGTTTCATTTTTTTGATTGTTCGGTCAATGTTTTAACATGTTTACAGACTAGTCTCTGGAATCCAGGAACTTTGAGACACAAAATTGTGCGCCTATCAAGTGCAAATCTTGGCCTCGTAAGGACGTCCTTGACCTTTGAATTAGTCTTTGATACTTGTTGAATTACTCCTTCATACATGCGTGGATGTTATTTATAAGAGGAGTATGAGTCATTTAGAAGGATGAGTTTCAGAGATCTATATTAATGTTCCGCATGTAGGTCTGTAGTACTGATCTGAAGATTAAGTCCGCAAGAGGAGTCTGGGCTGCAGATTTTCAACTACACACTCAAATAACTGAAATTTGGGAAAAGGGGACCTTAACTTACATTTAGCGTGCTGGTTCCACTGGGTGTGTGACTGAAGTAGACATCCAGTCTGGAAGTGTTCAGCTGGCGTGTGTCCTCCTGTCCAGCCACCAAGTAGTACACCTGACAAAGAAAGTAGCAACCGATAATCATGTCAGAGCACCAATTAGAGACTTCTTTCACCATTTCTTTTGACCATATCTCTTGATAAAAGAATTAACAGTTAGAGCCCTCATCGTTACTTTCATCTGATTTGGGCATCCGTTACTACAATATTGATGACGAGTCATTTATTTGCTGCCAATTTAATTACTCAGTCGGCGGTGTATCTTTCTGTTTTTCAATATACAGATTTTTGTGCGTTAATTGCATTGGTCTTCATTTCTACAGAGCAGGTGGATTTACACAGACTTCAGTGAAAGGATATAAAAATTACGCAAAAAATCAGTCTAATGAAAAACAGAACAAAACTGCCAGTATATAAGGACAAAACCTCAAATGTTCAGACTGTGCCTTAACGAAAATAGTTTTTATAAGTTTCCATCATATTGTGTTGCAAGAAAAGAAATGATCTGCAGAGGAGCTCATTAGAGATGCGCGATTGCCACGGTTCGAGAAGGTGAATATGCATACCTCAGTGCAGGCGGGCTTGAAGAGGATGTCGACGTTGCTGCATATCTGTGCCTCTGCCAAATTCATCAGTTTGGTGGGTGGGAAGAACAGTCCGTATCCCAGCAGACGATACACCCACTGCAACTTCTCAACCAACCCGGTGAAGTATCTAAACCGCAAACACCTTTTCATGTCAGAGACAGATTCGAAAGATCTCTAGTACAGTGCCGATTTGAATTATCCGAACAAAACTAATAAAACTCGAAGTTTATAAAGCGGTTTTCTCAAATTGAGTTGAATCTAGACAACAAACGAAGTCTTGCTTGGAATGAGGAAGAATATGGTGCAGGTGGTTTTGCAAAATTGGGAACCAAAATTTTATCACAAAGGCGATCATTTTTGGCTGTTTTTAGTCCAAAAAGTAGTGCAAAACGATTGCGCTTTTTCAGAGACGTCATTTTTTTGAATGACTTGAATTATCAGAAATAGGCCATGCAAGTTGAGCCACACATAAAATTACTATAAGGCAAACGCGACACGTTGATGAACTTTTTAGTTAATTTCAGCTTGAAGTTCAAAAATATTTCAAAAATTTGAGCTTGTCCATCAATTTTCTCAAACCTATAAAGAATTGAAAGAACATGGACAGTCACAGTTAGTTGAAAAGACCAGATGATCATGTTTAAAAACTTTTTACAAGCAAAAACTAGTTTTTCAGAAAAAAATGTAAGTGTCAAGGTCGCCTAAAAAAATCAATTTTGAATGCAACTTTTTTCTTTTTTTTTCTCAATCAGCTGATTGTTCTATTTGAAGTATTGTCTGAACCAATTTTTTTTTAAATAAAAAATTCAACCTTGCTTATGGCTCTAAAAAGTGAATGGAAAATTGTTAACCGAACTTGAACGAAAACAACTTTGAAATTGTGGCCTTGAAATTGTTCAAAATCATGGACGTTTTAGAAATGCTCCATTGTTGTTTTTGCTGACTGTTTCAAACGAAAACTTAGTGGTGAGATAGTACGAAACAGTTACCAAACCAGTAATCTGGCAATTGTTTGAGTACCTGACTTCGAGAAGGAAAAAATTCGAGAGAAAATGGAAACCCACCCGAAACCTAAGTTCCTTGCCATTTGGTTTTTATTTCAAACATCCTGGGAGCAGTGGTGAAGTGGTTACGTCTCCGGCTCTCAATCGATAGGTCGGATGTTTGAGGCCCACCATGATCTGTGCTCGTTGCTTGAGGGTGAGGCAACATTACCCAGCCCAGAAAAATAACCAAAAAAAATTGCATGTAGTTCTTAAGCAGGGGCACAACGGCGGTTCGCCGTAATGAGCTGTACAGCTCGTATGTTGGTCCTATCCCTCGTGGATAAATGATATTAAAAAACATCCTTGATAATTACTATCAGATAATATCATGAATTTTCCACTCTCTACTAAAATAAAACCTACGCTAATTCAAAAGCTATTAGAAACAACTAGCAATTTTTGTTTACTAATTCTCGTAAAAACACAACGTTCTGCACTGCTCTTGAACTCACAGCTAAAAAAAAGAAAAAAAAACATTGATTTAAACAGAGGCAAACGAAATTTGACATAACTTGAAAAAAAAAATTGGAGACAACATTTCCAGTACAAATTCAAACAAAAAAATCCGAGTATAGTTAGGTAGCACAAATATCATCATAGTGATATTTGTAACAAATTTCAAAAAAAATTAAGAACACCAAAAAAATTTGACGTTCGAAAAAGTCAATTGTCATTCTGACTTTCTTGTTTTTAGATTTTAGTGGAGCGAAAATAAAACAGATGGAATAACTGCTGTACGAGAAGTAATTAAAGATACAATAGGGTAAAAATACAGTAGAATTAAACTGACTTTTATCCAAATTGAGCTCAGTGTCAAAAAATTTTGTGAAATTTAGTCTGAATATCGGAGAAGTTCAGACCAAATTTTATCGACACAGACCAAGATTTTCCGTAACTAAGTTTGGAATTCAAACCGAGGCTGAAAGTTTTTTAACATGATACAACACTTGACTAGCTACCAGCAGCATTTTTCGGTTGTTAATATCGCATAAAAGATTTTACGCCACCAGGGGTGATCAGACCAATAAAGGAAGAAAACTTCAAACAAAAATTACTTACAACCAGGAACAACAACTTCAAATACAACTTAAAATTACCTTTCCAGATATCCAATCATCCTAACAAAAACAAACAGATGAAAAATCAATTTTAGTTGCAGCAGCAGACGAAAAAGAAGTAACTGTTTTACGCTTTTCACTGGGCGTTCGGATCATTTCGAATACGTCTTCGTAAATTTAAATAAAAAAGAGTACGAAAGTTGAGCTTTATAGCTCTTAACAAATTTATGGAACATAGTCTTCAAGTTCTGAATTAATACTGACCTTGAGACAATAACATATAGTTGAAATTACAGCCGACTTTTCAAAATTGCATTTGATCTGTCAAAAGAGCGAACCAAAATGATTGCGCTTTTCAGAGGTCAGACTTTTTAAATATATTTGCACGGCTTTATTTTCAAAACAGGTTTCATTCAGCAAGGATCTGACAGGCATTTTTTAGTAGATTAGATTACTTAAAACGCCTACAAAAAGGCAAACGCAAAACTTCGAAGATCTTTTTTTAGTAAACTTCAGCTTGAAGAAAAGAATTATTTCAAAAATTTAAGACGCTTTCCGATAAATTTGCTGAAAGCTATAACACCTTCATCATGGTGTTCTGCAGTTACAATTGCTCACCAAGCTTGATGATGAGCGATCCTAACGAAAAAGGTACATCAGTGTTTTGCACGAAAGACCAAAATCGTGATATGCAAAAATTACTCGATTCCCAAATATGATCACAAAAGAGCAGAAACTAAGCAAAGCTGGCTGATGCGACGTCTATTTAAAATAGTAATCGTTTTGGTAACTCTCGATGTGTGGGAAGTAAATATGGCGTAAGCTGGATATTCTTCGCGCAATTTTAAGTTAACTAAAAACGCTTTTCGGTTTCAAGTGCAGTTCACTTTTTCATCTAGATTTCGGAGTTTAAAAAATCGAGCAAAATTAACTGTGACTAGAAAATTAGTCTGCGCTGTCTGCTATTCAAGTTCCTTTTTCACATCTATTTTTGACTCATAAGTTTGTTTCAGCTAAAATTTAAAGGCACAAAAACTAGACACCGTGTTTTCCTCTGCTGCTACGAAACTTTCATGGTCTGTCGCCAGCAAAAACGAATATCCAGCATCACCAAAGCTGATAGTTTGTGTTATCTGTTACCGAATTGGCAACGTTAAGCATATATTTTTTGCATCTTAACTAATTATAAATGTACCCAGTGCTGTTTTTAGTAGTTTTCATTGATATGACAATAGTAATGTTTTATAAAATATTGAAAAAACAAACAAAATAATTTGGGAAATATTGATGGGTGCAGAAGGCACTCAACAAAAATTCGCGAATATATTTTTTCAATACTTTTCTAACAATTCCTATCGTCATAACGGTACCGCGACAATTCGCAAGAAAATGCAAGTCGCAACAAAAGACAACTCGCTAATTTTAAGGAAAGCAACAACTTGCAAGTTTTTGAAGCTATTGGAAACTTTATATTGTCGCATTACGCATCATAATATGGAAAATAGCTTGCACAGCAGCCGGGTACATTTAAAAATGTTTCAGATGCTAAAATATACATACTTAATGTTGCCACAACAGTAACAGGTGCTGCAGGTAACAGGTGCTGCGATTTTCCATGCTGCAGGTAGATCATAGTACAAGCTATCAGCTTTGGTGATGCTGGGTTTTCATTTTCGCTGGTAATGGAACCATGAAAGATTCGTAGCAGCAGAAGAAAGCATAGTGGTTTGTTTTTGTGCCTCGGTTAACAGCGTTATTATGACCATGAAGCATTTATTCCGATAAAATTTGATATGACTCTTTCTAAATGAACCTGATCACGCTGGTCACTCCACCCAGCTGTGCCACCGGGGCCAGGGCGCCAAAGAACTTGACCTTGGCAGCCAGATGAGAGTTGTAGGAGAATCCGGCGAAACCAACTTCGAAAACAGTTCACATTACTAATAACAGCAACAGGTCAATGTGTGCAAATAACATCAGGCGTTCAATCACAGTAACAACTGCAAAAAATTAAAACAACGAAAAACAATAAATATAAGTGCAAAATAGTTGTCAACGGTTCACTTCGTTAGTTCTTCTGTGAATGAAAACGATCCCTGTTCGCAACTGGGCATCTACAAATTATGCACAACGTACGAGGTCTAAAACTCGTATAATAAACCCAACCCTAGTCTTCAACTAATGGAAAAAAAACAGGCGGAAGCAGGAAGGAAAGAAAAAGAAAAAACTCAAAAGGCTAACTACGATTTTCCATGACGTGGTTTGTTTTTCAGAAAACATGGTTTGAATGTCAAAATGTGGATGATTGCAAGCTTCAATATTTACTCATTGTTCCTTGTGAGTACCCGACATAGTTAATCTGGGTCTGATTCACAAATTGGGTGACATAGTCCACAACTGCAGGTAGATCATAGTACGCAATCTCGTCCCAAGTCCACTCCCAGAATGCGAATTGGGTCTGCTTGAGGGAGGTGTGAGTGCGACTGTACTTGGAACCCCTCGCGTTCGGCAGCCACACGTCATAGCCAGCGTCAGCCAGAATGAACCCTGAAACTCATTAAAAAGTCTCAAAGGCTCATTTTAACAAAAATACATGGCTATTGCGCTAAGTAGCCTCCTATCAAGAACTGAATCTTGCCATTGTGTTTTCTTAATGTACGCTCAAAAATAAACTGAATAGAACTGATGCTGAACAAATTCAAGATTTTTTATACAGAAAAAACATCGCCTGAAAAGTGGAAAAGTTTCAACGAATAGCTCAAAATCCATACATAAATAAAACCATTGCAGAGCTCCTTTCTAAGTTATTGGCTAGTTTTATGAAAAAACAAACTGCAGTCCCATTCAACTCATAATAGTTTGTGCATGTTTATCAGACAATTTTCTAAACTTTTGAAATAATTCTGGCCTTGAAACAGTGAAAAGGCGTTGAAATAGCAATCGAAATGTCGAAACTGCATTGAATTGTCAAAAGATCAATGCAATAAGATTGCGCTTTTTTGGAAACGTTTTTGCCATTGTCAAGACAATAACTTAAAAAAACCATTAACGATCTGCCACAGGCAATTCTTCAGAGAAAAATCGCATAAGACGGCAGCAAAAAAGCAAACGCGAAACTTCAAACAGCTATTTTGGTTTGTTTAATTTTGATGGTCAGAATTATAAATAATTCCACATTTTTGACAATACCTTGAGCAGCTTATCGGCCAAAATACGGTTGTTTTAGGCGAATTAGACTTTTTCATATTTTTTACGTGCTGAAATGAGTGACAAATTATAGTTAATCCCAAATTGCTCTCTTTATTTATAAACTAGTGTGTAACGCACCTTCGGTGCTCCAAATTTATGACAACTCACAAAACCGCAGATTTTAAAAATAATATTTGCATCCTTTAAATGTAATCTGACAGCACCCAATTACAAGGTTGGTAATTTCAAATTTTGCAAAGTTATTCAAGTTTTTTAATTCAAAATTTGAAAAACCATACAATTTTGTGAATTTTTTATATCTAAGTCCGTTGAAAGTTTTTAAAAGGCAGAAAAATGCCATTTCTCGGAAACTAAAAGCAATGGAGCAGACACATTTGGACTCAAGATTTGCAACTTCTGAGAGTACTCACAGCACCCAACTACAGGGTTGGGAACTTCAAATCTTGAGGAACTTCAAATTGAAATTATCTTATTTTTTTTTAAAGAAGTGACATAACTCCAGAACTACAAACATTTGAGCACTCATATTTGGAGGCGAACCTTGCAACCCCTGAGAGTACTCTGACAGCCGCTAACATCAGACTAGAAATTCCAAACTTTGAGAAAAAAATTAAGTTTATGTTTTCTGAAAACTTTTTTGAACAGAAAAATACAATAAACGACATATCTCAAAAACTAACAGGATTAGCATTCATAGTTGCAGAAAAAACTTGCAAAACTAGGAGAGCCCTGAAAAAGCCTCAATCTAGAGATAGGAACTTGAAAATTTTATATCTAAGTTCTTGAACATTAAAAAAAAAGACATTACAAACGTCACATCTCGGAAACTAAAACCAATTGAGCAGTCACAATCGGTTACAAAATTGGCAAGAAAAAACTCCTGAGAGTGCGCTAACAGTACCCAACTAAAAGATTGAGAATTTCAAAAGTTTCTTAAAACTATTTTTATTTAAATTAAAGTTTTAAAGTTTTTAAAATCTAAGTTTTCTAAAAAGTTAAAAATTAAGAGTAAATTACGTCATATCTCGAAAACCACAAGGATTTGAGCAGTCATATTAAAAAGTAAATTTCGCAATCCAAGAGAGTACTCTCATAGAGTACTCTGACAGCCCCCACTACAAAAATGAGAATTTCAAATTAAGAAAAAAAAATTAATTTAATTTTTGTGAATTTTTTTTTTAAAAGTCACAAAAAACGTCATATCTCGAAAACTACGAAACCTGAGCAGACAAATTCAGAGGCAAGTTTCGCATTCCCTCAAAGTGCCCTTACAGTCTCACACTACAGGATTGAGATCTTCAATTTTTTTAAATTCACTAAATCTAAGTTTCTGGAAAATTTTTGAAAAAATTTTAAAAACGTCATATCTCGAAAACTGGATTTGAGAAGTCATATTCAGAGGCAAAATTAGCAACCCATGTGATTACCCTCACAGTTTCCGACTGCAGGGTTGAGATTTTCAAAATTTCAGATTTTTTTCAAGTCTAATTTTTTTGAAAATTTGTGAAAAAATCATTACAAACGTCATATCTCAAAAACTACTCAAATTTGAGAACTGAGATTTGGAGGCAAGATTCGCAACACCTCAGGGGCAACTACAATGATAAGAATTTCAAATTTTGTAAAATTTTCAAAAATTTACGGTTTCTAGTGATTTTTGAAAAATCTCAAAAATTGCCGTATCTCCTAAATTAAAAGGATTTGGTTATTCAAATATGGAGGCCTGACAGCATCCCAAAATTGAGTTGCTATTTTCAAACTCGTTGAAATAAACACTGAATTCAAACACGAAAAAAAATCTTAACAATTGCAATATACGATATAGCTTAAACGTGAAAAAATTCTTTTCTTAAACATGCAAAACTAATACGTTGAAAAAGCTTAAGCATGGCAAGATAGTGAAGCCCGCATTTAAAAAAATTAAAGATACCAAATTGTTGGCAAAATCTTTTTGGGTCAATGAATCTGAACAAAGTTGATTAATCCGCGTCGGATTTCAGCTTCTCACTTATAATTAGTACCAAAAAGTTCGGACAGACAAAATTAATTAAAAAGAGCAATTGACCTATTTTGGAATTATTTTGCATGCAAAATCTAATTTTTCAGTCCGATTTTGTGTCTCAAGGTTGTATGAAAAAAAATTGCATGCAAAAATTTGTCAAAATGGTACGATTGCTCTTTTTATTTAATTCTGTCTGTCCGAATTTTTTGCAACTCTCTATATTTCCACACGTGAAAACTATTTCCAAAAATTAATTAACCCATAGAGAGTTGCAAAAAGTTCGGACAGACAGAAATATTTAAAAAGAGCAACTGTCTAGACATCAAGGGAAATTAAAACTGAAACAAACATAACATCGAAAGTTCAAAGAGCAGATTTTCGCTCGAAACTTATAACCATGGCGGGCAATTGCATCCGAAGCGTCGAAAAGTAAACCTTGAAACATGAAAACTATTGCTCAGGTTAGATAATGTTTTTCTGCAATTAGTTTCCAATTTTTGAATGATTTAATCATTTTCACTTCCGTTTGTTTTTTTTGGGCGGCCTCATCCGTTTTTTTTTTAATGAACTTCAAGGGTTGGGAACTTCAAATCTTGAGGAACTTCAAATTGAAATTATCTTATTTTTTTAAAAGAAGTGACATAACTCCAGAACTACAAACATTTGAGCACTCATATTTGGAGGCGAACCTTGCAACCCCTGAGAGTACTCTGACAGCCGCTAACATCAGACTAGAAATTCCAAACTTTGAGAAAAAAATTAAGTTTATGTTTTCTGAAAACTTTTTTGAACAGAAAAATACAATAAACGACATATCTCAAAAACTAACAGGATTAGCATTCATAGTTGCAGAAAAAACTTGCAAAACTAGGAGAGCCCTGAAAAAGCCTCAATCTAGAGATAGGAACTTGAAAATTTTATATCTAAGTTCTTGAACATTAAAAAAAAAGACATTACAAACGTCACATCTCGGAAACTAAAACCAATTGAGCAGTCACAATCGGTTACAAAATTGGCAACAAAAAACTCCTGAGAGTGCGCTAACAGTACCCAACTACAAGATTGAGAATTTCAAAAGTTTCTCAAAACTATTTTTATTTAAATTAAAGTTTTAAAGTTTTTAAAATCTAAGTTTTCTAAAAAGTTAAAAATTAAGAGTAAATTACGTCATATCTCGAAAACCACAAGGATTTGAGCAGTCATATTAAAAAGTAAATTTCGCAATCCAAGAGAGTACTCTCATAGAGTACTCTGACAGCCCCCACTACAAAAATGAGAATTTCAAATTAAGAAAAAAAAATTAATTTAATTTTTGTGAATTTTTTTTTTAAAAAGTCACAAAAAACGTCATATCTCGAAAACTACGAAACCTGAGCAGACAAATTCAGAGGCAAGTTTCGCATTCCCTCAAAGTGCCCTTACAGTCTCACACTACAGGATTGAGATCTTCAATTTTTTTAAATTCACTAAATCTAAGTTTCTGGAAAATTTTTGAAAAAATTTTAAAAACGTCATATCTCGAAAACTGGATTTGAGAAGTCATATTCAGAGGCAAAATTAGCAACCCATGTGATTACCCTCACAGTTTCCGACTGCAGGGTTGAGATTTTCAAAATTTCAGATTTTTTTCAAGTCTAATTTTTTTGAAAATTTGTGAAAAAATCATTACAAACGTCATATCTCAAAAACTACTCAAATTTGAGAACTGAGATTTGGAGGCAAGATTCGCAACACCTCAGGGGCAACTACAATGATAAGAATTTCAAATTTTGTAAAATTTTCAAAAATTTACGGTTTCTAGTGATTTTTGAAAAATCTCAAAAATTGCCGTATCTCCTAAATTAAAAGGATTTGGTTATTCAAATATGGAGGCCTGACAGCATCCCAAAATTGTGTTGCTATTTTCAAACTCGTTGAAATAAACACTGAATTCAAACACGAAAAAAAATCTTAACAATTGCAATATACGATATAGCTTAAACGTGAAAAAATTCTTTTCTTAAACATGCAAAACTAATACGTTGAAAAAGCTTAAGCATGGCAAGATAGTGAAGCCCGCATTTTAAAAAATTAAAGATACCAAATTGTTGGCAAAATCTTTTTGGGTCAATGAATCTGAACAAAGTTGATTAATCCGCGTCGGATTTCAGCTTCTCACTTATAATTAGTACCAAAAAGTTCGGACAGACAAAATTAATTAAAAAGAGCAATTGACCTATTTTGGAATTATTTTGCATGCAAAATCTAATTTTTCAGTCCGATTTTGTGTCTCAAGGTTGTATGAAAAAAAATTGCATGCAAAAATTTGTCAAAATGGTACGATTGCTCTTTTTATTTAATTCTGTCTGTCCGAATTTTTTGCAACTCTATATTTCCACACGTGAAAACTATTTCCAAAAAATTAATTAACCCATAGAGAGTTGCAAAAAGTTCGGACAGACAGAAATATTTAAAGAGAGCAACTGTCTAGACATCAAGGGAAATTAAAACTGAAACAAACATAACATCGAAAGTTCAAAGAGCAGATTTTCGCTCGAAACTTATAACCATGGCGGGCAATTGCATCCGAAGCGTCGAAAAGTAAACCTTGAAACATGAAAACTATTGCTCAGGTTAGATAATGTTTTTCTACAATTAGTTTCCAATTTTTGAATGATTTAATCATTTTCACTTCCGTTTGTTTTTTTTGGGCGGCCTCATCCGTTTTTTTTTAATGAAAATAACTCTAGATTTCGTTTTTTTTTCAATTAATTTTGCTAACTGTTTTTTTAGTAATATCTGGATGTTTATCGCAGTATTCAAAAATAAGGCTAGCATAATCTTCGGATAAGCAACGATCTCGCATTTTGAATTTGGTCTTAGAAAAACATCAAGGTTGTTCGGCTTCAGATATTGCATGTAAAAACTTATCGAAAAGCACTGACTCCTCATTTTAATCAATTCTGTCTGTCCGAACTTTTTGCTACTTATTATATAAGCTGTACTTTTTGACGGATTAAATTGTTCGAGATAACCGATATTGCCAGCAATTTGGCTTTAACTATAATTTCAGGCGTCAAAAAGAACAGTTTTAGGCTTATCAACTTCGTTTAGATTCGTTGACCCAAAATCATATTGCCAACAATTTGGCTTTAACTATAGCTTTTAATATATTAATCGGACAACGTATTAAATTTCTGAAATAAGTTTGACCTTCAAACCTAAACTAAATCGAAATACTTCTTTCGTTTTTGCCTTTGTGTCGGTATTTTATGTTTTTTTTGCTCTGAAAAATTACATGGCAAATGGTTAATTAGTAGCAAAAAGTTTGGACAGACAAATTTAATTAAAAAGAGCACTTGACCAATTTTGGAAAACTTAGCGCGCAAAACCAAAATTATCGGATCGAATTTTTGTCTCAAGGTTGTCGCAAAAAATCTAAAGAGAATGCAAAAGTTTTTAAAATCGAACGATGGCAACTCATTAGAAAAAAATTCTTCAGTTGTGCTCTTGAATAAAGCAATCATTTTGCATTGCTTTTTTGGCAGTTCAATTGCAGTTTTGAAAATTCGATTGGAGTTTTAACGCCGTTTTACTGTTTCAAGGTCAGAATTATTTCAGAAGTTTAAGATTTTGTCTGATGAACTTATTAAAATTTTAACAAGGCTTCAAACAATTCGAACCGAGAGATTTATTTAAAAAACCAATCTTTCCATTCAATTTCGATGAGACAGTCAACTTTGAGACACAATTTGGTCAGAAAAAAAAAATTTTGCATGCAAATAATTTTAAAAAAGTCAATTGCTCTATTTAATTAATTTGTGCCCGAAATTTCTGCTACTTTTTATATAAACGAACTTTGAGAATCGTAGTTAATGCCAAACTGTTGGCAATATTGGTGACCTTGAGCAACGTAATTGGTCCATGAATGGTTGTCTGAGGTTAATTAGTTTTTTGATATAGTTTTAACATGCTCAATTGAGTGAAAATTTAATTTCAGCCGTCAAATGAGCAGTTAAAAGTAATTTTAAACTTTAACTGAAGTACCGCTTATATTGTATAATCTGGGATCTTTAAATTCAGGTTTGTTAAATTGCGATGCAAACTTTGAATTCAAGCCGCAAGATCAGTGAATGCACCACAAAAAATGTACTAAAAAGCAAAACCGAAGGAAAACTGCCCAAGCGAAAAGACACCGTTCAAATTTTTTAATGTGTAGGATAAGATTTCGACATAAAAATACCAACGTTTCACTTCTAATACTAATATCGCATATTACTAATTGTAGCTTAGCATAGTCCATCACGGGAGGTTGTCTTGCAAGATCTCTTTAAAAGATCGTAGAAGGTTCTTGCAAGATCCTGCAAGATAACATCCTTTGAAGATAAACTGTTTCGGCAAAATCTTCAAAAACATGGTATTTTGTGGCGGAACAACAGATATTTTACCCGCGAAGTAAACCTATATCGTATAACTAATATCGTTTGTGTAACAAGGAAGCAATACGAGTAGCAGGTGGTAATTTTTAAATACTTTACAAAATTAATAAAATGAAAAAGAGAAAATTAAGATCGCAAAGCAAAGTTGAAAATAATTGTTGTATGTACCCATGTGAACACAACCTACAAAAGCTTAGTGACTCGTCAAAGTTACAAAAAGTTACCAAATAACTAATTTTGAATCGCCAGATTTGCAACACTTGATGAATTATTCCAATAAAATTTTGAGAATGTGTTTTTGGAAGTTTTAATTTGAACTGCTGAAGAAGTTGCAACATTTTAAATCATGAAAGCTGAAAAATGAGCGCATAAACGATAGTTTAAAACGTAGTCAACCAAAATGTTTTCTCAGTAATTACTTTCATAATTCTTTGTGACCTTAGGCAAATTTAACCTCCACAGTGTTTTTTTGGCGGTCAGAATAACTTTTTGTTTTCTTGCAAGAGCTTGGAAGAATTTTGCAAGATACCCTCGGCAAAGGTTAGCTTCCATTAAACTACCTTCTAACTTATTTTAGAACTTACATTCGTGATCCTCAACCGAGGTCTCTTTGGCAAAGTAAAGGCTGCTTTAACTACTGATTAAGAAATATTTGCAGACTGAGTGATCTACCCAAACTCTGGTCGGGGAAGTTGGTGATGAAGATGGTGGCATCACACTCCAGACAATGCATCAGCACCACTGCACTCCGGTTTTCTAAAACATGCGAGATCAAGAGGACTTAAAAAGGTTGTTTTTTTGATCCTTCAGAGTAAGGGACGCGAGAGTTACTTTTCGGTTTTGAACATCGCTTTTTCTTTCCTCGGGAGGATCATTTTCTCGATGCTGACAACTTGGTGTATAAGTTCTGTCTGACCAACTTTTACATTTTACTTGTCAGACTCATCCAAAAGACGAAAGGATCACTTTCAAAAATGGGCCAATTTTTTGAAATAACCCCCCGTGGACTATGAAGCTTCTTCGGCTAGCCGAAGATCCATCAGATAATTTCACTGACAAACTATCGTAACAATAGCGTAGCTCTACTCAGCTGATCTCACCTGTAGGAATGGTTGTTGGGTGTTCTGGTGTTGGGTGTCCGTGGGGTATTCTGTGCATGGTCAGGATATAACCATCCTCAGTGGTCACTTGGTGCTCCTCACAAGGATATCTGACACATAACAAAACAAAAACACAGTCAAAGTTTTCGAATAAATGCCACAAGAAAATACACGTTCGTTACACATTGCATTTTCTTTACCTTCATCAAAAGTGTCGAGATTAAGTAGATCTATCAAAAATTCATATTTTATCTTGATTTGTGCCTCAAACAGAGTTTTGAGAATAACATGCCAAATAGACAAAATTTGTACACACTTTCAGTTATTTCCCCACATTCCACTCTGAGTTATTTTGTTGAGCAGTGGTGCTCCTTTTTGTGTTTCGAGGCAGTTTTCTTTGCGTCTAGAGCGTTCAAGTGGTACAATTATTGCAGCCAGAATCGGTCAGGCTGTGGTATGCCTGAAGCTAGAGGTCAATGTACAGCTCGTCCTCACACACTATGATTTCAATGGCAGGGGATCGAATGTACGATCTCACGATCTCTGTGTAAATGCCTTGCTACCACGCTAAGTGCCTCTTAGATGATGATTTAGATCGTCAAAAAAACTTACAGGCGGCAACAAAGCAGACAATACTGGAGCAGACACATGTTGGGCCGAAAAATAATTGTTTCTATGAAACCCAAAAACCCAGAAACCCAAACAAAAAATGAACTCTCCTCTTCATAAAAACTTCTACCGCTTATCAGAGGAAGCAACAGGTGAACATTAAGCCTGTCATACGGTGTTGTATGATCTTTACTGAATCCGCACGGATTGGCGACTAAGGTGATAACTCGATAAGAAAATAGATGTTAACTGAAACATAATCTCTTTTCTCAAGTCTGCACATGTTGTGCTCTTAGCAATACGGACTGGACGTAGCTCTCAAGTGGGACTGTCTGCGTTTCAAAAAAGAGTTCTTGAGTCCCATTGGGACTGTCGATTAATCAATTCCCTCTTGCGGGTTTATGTACTTCCACTTCTTTGGTTGGTTGCTCCGTTGCATTATCGGCTTTTTTTGTGCCAATGTTGATTTCGTCGTTCGTTTTCTCGTCTATTTGTTTTTCATGCTCCTCAGGTGTGTTGGCTTGTTCGTTGGTCACCACTGTCCTGGGTTCTTCCGCAACATCAACGTTCTTCTTGTCGATCGTTATTGCTTCGTTGATCGGGTTGTCGGTCGCTGATACGAGGTCGACTACTTTGACCGCGTCTTGTGTCCCTCTTGAAGAACATGGTTTTAATGTTTCTTGAACCAGTGCGATTACCACTTTTGGTAGAATGTTACGTCCGATGATGTTCTCTTTTTGGTCATCTACGATTATAATTGGGCAAGGTTGCACCATCCAACCTCCAGCTCTATCGCAATTTTCAGTGGTCCTTTTGGAATTATTTTTTTTTCATAATAACACGCCAAGTTTCTTGCCGCATCTTCGGAGGGATAAATCTGAATCGTATTGATTTGTCGTTTATTTGGAGTCTGCCCGCGTTTTTTTTGCTTAAGAGCGACATTGGTTTTTCTGAATCTGCAACAGCGAACACGTTTTCTGCCTTTGTTTTCAAATTTATAATGTGGACGATTAAATTGTCTTCTTTCAGATCGGTTGCAATTTTGATTTCAATAGCGTAGGAAATGGCCATTATAGTAAAATTGTCTAGAAGGATGTCTTCCCAACCGTCTGCTGAAATGAATTCTGCGTAGGCATCGTGATCGTTTTCTACAAGGTCTCCGTCCTTGTCCTGCTCGGTCACCTTTTGATCTCCATTTGACTACTGCAAGTAATTTACATTTGTTGATCTACATACTTTTGCGAAGTGTCCTCGTTTTGCTCATTTAGAACAAAGTTTTTCTTTAGGCGAGGATTGTAAACGGTTCGGGCCAAATTGTCTACCACATTTTTAGCAATTTTTTGTTTAATTTCCCCGGTAGATTTGCATTACGCTTGATTGATTATTACTATTTCCTCTTGAGACATTTTGCCGGCCTCTGCGGAAACCTCGGCCCTGACTACTATTTGGATACCCGCCAGGAGCTCCTCTTCCTCGTCTCGTGGTGGTATGTATCTCATGGGTTCTTGTTCAATTGTCGGTTAGCTTGTAGGACTTAATGGATTGGTTTCCTCTTCTTATCGCATACTCGTAGGCACTTTATGGCGACCTTGTTTCTGCTAGTAGTTTCTCAGCGATTTTCTCATTTGTCGTATGTGCCGTGAAGATGTTGCGGACCCTTTCGTCTTCTCTGCAACCGCAGTCGGCCCGTGCCGCTAACTCTACTAAATCCGCATGAAATTGTTCTAAGGATTCATTTTACCGTTGTTTTCTGCAGATGAAGTTGTGTCTTTTGAAAGCGATTATCAGCGTTGTGACAAAAATGTCTTCCAATATCTGGATCAACTCTTTAGTTGATATTTTATGTATCTCAATTCCTGGGCGTTTTTGTTGTAGCTGCTTTTGGCTTTCTGCCCCTAAGCACAAGAATATATAACTTCTCACCTTTGCATTTGCTTCGTCACATGGGAAATTGTTGCAAAGTGGTCCTCGAACTCTTCTTGTTTGATATTCCCAGTCGACTTTTTCTCCTGGTTTTGTATGTCTCATTTCCGTTTTTTGCCTCTGTTTCACCGGTAGTACCAGCTCATAAATTGGTTCCGTTGGTTCTATGATTGTAGGTTTTGCACGAAGTGGAGTCCGAATTTCCATCATGGCTGTCTATTTTGTCCATTCCATAGGCGGTTCCGCCGCTGCCTTCTGCCGGAATGGTTGGATGCTCAGCGGGTTTTTGTATCCCGCTGAGCATCCAAGCATTCCGGCAGAAGGCAGCGGCGGAACCGCCTATGGAATGGACAAAATAGACAGCCATGATGGAAATTCGGACTCCACTTCGTGCAAAACCTACAATCATAGAACCAACGGAACCAATTTATAAACTGGTACTACCGGTGAAACAGAGGCAAAAAACTGGTTTAAAACTGGTATACAACAAGGTACTGAATCCGTACGGATGGGCGGTTAAGGTGATAACTCAATAAAAAAGAAGTTAACTGAAATATAATTCCTTTTCTCAAGTCGGCACAGATTGACCTCTTAGCAATACGGACTGGCCGTAGCTCTCAAGGTCAGTTGACCTGTGTTATAAATTATATAAATAGTTATGAATATGTATATATGTACATCACTATCATGGTGCCAATCCGGCCGGTTGACAAAGCCGATATAAAAATAAGCACAAACCTTTCAAACAGAATCATTTGTCAAAACAAGGAAAAACGAAATCATTAAAATTATACCAAATTGGAGTTGATAAAATTGCAACTAACGTAAGAAATAAATTTCGAATATATTGGATATTTAAAAATCTTTGTTCCGATTTGATAACGCTAGCATAAAAACTTTGAGAAAGTACTTAAATGGTGTGTGTATCTTGTTAATTTGTGTGTACCCTTTTGAAGTGATAAGCTGACACGCATCTTTCCACACGTCAGGATCATGTCCATAGCTCACACTCTAAACATGTCCAAAACAAACTAGATTAAAGCACACTGTCGTCGCGTATCATTTACATGGTTGGATTTCGCTTGCAGTTTTATCCAATAGCAGGAATGATAATCTTGCTGATAGTCAGCAGAAAAGAGGGTTAGCACTGCCGTTTGAGAAGAACTTTTAAATTGTCCAGAAAAAAGTAGCAACGCAAAAATAGACCCGGTCTGAACCAGCCACTTGCTGAACTGGAACTAACTGTTAAAACTCGGTTGAAAAACTTAACAAAATTCATCTAACCTGGTAGACCGCAAAAAGAAGAGCATAGCTTGTCGCAATTTCCATTCTGTCCAATATCGCGCGGGATAAAAGCAGCTGTAGATTGAAATTTGCCTGTCAGTTGCGCAAAAAAAATTGACTTTATGTAGAAAAATGTATGGAACGCAAGAAGTGGCCACTTACTCTATGTCAATGTTACTGACTATAGTTCATGTTTACAGCGGGTGTGAGCTGGTTGTCTTGTGAGTTACCAATGGTTATGCCATTACGCAAACGATCAATTGCTTTAATACTGACAGCCCAAGTAACGATATTCAATCAAAATCGAATTATGAAGAGATCAACCCAAAACTTATAACTGATGAACACCACTTCGATGAACACCACACCAGTTTGATTTATCAGATCTCGTAAATCATGGCAATCTTTTGCGTCTGTTTTTTCCTGATTGTTTTTGTTCGAAATTTGAGAAGAAATGCTTTAATACACAAGACCGAAAAATAATCACGTAATACAGCCCTGAACTAGTCCAAGTTGATACTATTAACTGAGTTTCGATGGGTCAATATACTGAGCCTAGATCAGTTGATCGCTATTGAATACCTGTTTGAAGAAACACAGCAATCAATGTAAAAAATATACATTACAAGCAGCCAAGTTAGACCGATAAATGACTTCAACTTAGAGCTCAAGTTTGAATTATTATCATCCGTTGAAGAAATTGTCTGCTTATCCAAGTTAAACAAAGAAAAAAAAACTGTTTCTCAAAAGTTAAAGCTATTTCAACGTGAATTTAAACAGCAGTCAAATTTAGTTTAACCCCAAAAGGACAGCACAAGTATGGTCTCAAAACGCTCTCCGAAGTTAGAATATTATTATCTCAATATCGATAAATTTATAACAAAAACAAGGCTGCTCGTATGAGGGCGAAGCTGCTTAATGTTCTGACTGCTTAATAAAATCTATGGAGTAGCGTTCGCTTCAGAAGATGATACAATTTTTGAAAAAAAAATGCGTTTTTTTTGGAAAACCATTCCCCACACGCTATGTTAATTGCAAAAAATAATTTTCGCCTACAGCAAAGTTTTTTAAATAGTCAAAACAGCAAGCCGTAGTCCATTTCGGAATAATTTATAAGAGGGATTAAGTCTCCGCATACATGGTAAAAGTGCAAACAATAACGCGCGTTAATTGTCCCAATTTGGCCAAAATGGCAAACTGTAAACCCTCATAACTTTACGAAAAATGATCACGGGTCAAATATCATTTTAGTTTTAAACTTAGGTCATCAACATTTTTTAATGATAAAAAACTCCGTCAAAAATGGGTAGTAAAAAATGGAAATGTGTCTCAATAAGAAAAAACCAACCCGAGCATAAATATTCCGTCATTTTCTTCGAAAGTCGGATTAAGGAACAAAAAATGACAAACAGCGATTTTTTTTTTTACAAAATCGCTCACAAAATAATTTTACAACGCGTTTTTTATGAATGCTCTCTCATCTCACTCATAAATAAGTAATTAATTCCAAAATTTGCCGAAATCTGATAAGGCGTTTTATTAAGTTGAGTGATTTTTGTTAACATATTTTTTCTGCGGTTTGTGCTAAAATCAAAAACAACCTGATTTTGAGCTAAACAAGTTCGTGTAGTGCGGATTTAAAATCGGCGGGTAACATGTTCAAACTGATTTTTTTTTCTCATTTAGAGTTAAATTTAGACCAAAGTTGATGCGGACAAAAATGCCTTAAATTTAACCAGCATGATTTTGATAAAAATTTTTTTTGCTTAAAGTGGATTCAAAATTATACCTGTAAAACCGGTCATTTTTTTGGGTCGAGATCAAGCAAAAAACGACTGATAAGTTGATGAAAAAATAATGTGAAATGACAGTTTTGCATAATCACGAACCAAGCAATATGGCCAGTTTCTGGGTTAAACTTTCACAGAAAAAGTTTTGTAGTGTAAAATTTCTAGGTAAATGCTAAATTTTTGAGTAATTCTGGGTCTAAAATTATTCCACATTGAGAAAAACCAGTTTAAAAACATTCAGTTTTGTACGTGTTCTCCGATTAATTCGAAATAGCTCTATCATTACAACAGAGTGTCTTCCAAAACACGTTATGAGAAAAAAAACAATAACAACTTTAATTTTTTATTGGAAGTGATGCAAGCATTGGTTTCGCTTCAGTGAGATAAAATAATTGGCTTTAAAGTCAGTTTGTTTGATTTTAAAACTATTTGAAACTACCAAAGAGGCCTTAATTATTCTAATTTCAATTAGTGAACCAAATAGTTTTGTGTCCAATCAGATTTGAACCAATTCTATTGGTGCTATTTGAGGCTATAGGTTAATATCACAGTTAGAAGAAGTAGCAATCACGGTAAGTTAAAATGATCAAAGAAATCAAATTAACTAAATTATTGATTCTGCAAATACTGAGTTTTGGTGCCCAAAAACTTTAAATAAATTGCTAAAACTTGGCCAAAATCATGTTTTTTGGCATTAGCAGAGTTTTAATAATATCAATATAATCGAATTTGTTTCAATATCAAGTATGAATTAGGATTTGTGGTTATAATTATTACAGAGTGTCTTCAAAACTCGTTTTTAATGACAGTTTTCCCATTTTTTTCATACTTGAGTTATTGCATCCATTTTTTTTACTGTAGTTTCAAAAACTTTCAAAATCTGATGAAACATTTGAGTAAATGAAAATGGCGTTGTTTTTTTTTGCTTACGCAACACCGTAGTTTTTGAACTCTTAGCTAATTTTGAGCTGACGCCTCAAATTTTTTCGGGCCCCTGAACATTTTAACTCACCGTGATTGCTGCCTCTTCCAACTGAGACAGGTACCTATAGCCTCCAGTAATACCAATAGAATTGCTTGCAAGCTGAATGAACAAAAATTATTTGATTCACTAGTTGAAAATAAAACAATTAAGGACTATTTGATAGCTTCAAATGAAACAGCTTTAAAACGAAACAAATTGACGTTCAGAGCCAATTTTTCTGATCTCACAGAGGTGAAACAAATGTTTGCATCATTTTCGATGGAAAAACAGAAAATGATCGCAAATAAAATATCATATTAAAAAAGATATTTATTTATTGTGCAAGCAGCTAAGATTGTTCTAAAGGCAACAATCAATTTACAAAAATCCAGAAACCAATTTTGAAGTCCAGAAACCAATTTTAAATTTTGAATAGATTTTTTCAAGTTTTTCACAAATTTTTGATTATTTTTAGCAAACAACGATCAATTTCCATAAAAACTGCTGCGCGAAAGACAAAAACAGCGAATTTAATACAGAACATGCCAAATCAGGAAATTGAGAAAAAAGTATCTCATGGTGTCATTCATAAACTTCAGACTAGAGAACATGGAAAACGTTTTTTTCTTCAGAAATTTACTTGAAAAAACTTAACCTCTTACGAAAAACATCAAATTTTTCCCGCTTAAATTTTTTTCACTCAGATTCTTTTTTGCTTGAATAATTTGTCTAGAAAAACTAACAGTTCGTGATCTAGTTCAAGCTGTCAGAACTTGATATCTTCCATTTTTCTACGCCAGAAAAATTTCCAAAAAAAACCTCACCTTTACCTTCTCACAAATCAGTTCAAGCTACAAAACAATTTTAAAATTTTTGCATCGCTTATTAAATAGCTTTACAGAAAACTGTTTTTGAATATTAGCTTAGAATTGGAAAAATATCTAAATTTTTCAAGGCTCAAAAGCTGGCTTGAAAAATTCTTTCAACTTTCCGCAAATCGAATCAAATTATGCAAACAACATTAATTTTTCTAAAGTTTCATTGCTCGGTAGCTCATTAAGAAAAGTTGGGCATCATATTTTTCGAAAAATCTGGAAAACACCCTTGTATTTGACTCAGCCTAATCTTTTTATGTTATTTTTGTCCTAATAGTCCCACTAGAGAAGATTAAAGTTATTCTATTCTTGATTTTGCTGTTTTTTGTTAGAGGTAAGTAACTTCATCCAGATTTTCAGCATTATATGTTTAAATGACAATTTTAAGGGAATGATCAAACTTTCATAAGTAGATCAAAATGGTTTTCACTTGACAAAATTTTTATCGCTCGAACAATCCGTTTTAGAAAAATAAAATAAATTCTTTGCATATCTTTTCAAACCATCAGAACCTTATGAAACTTCTCTGCTAGAATAGTTTGCTTCGAAAAGTTTAAGCGCTGCAGTATTTCAAGTTGTTTTCATAACTTGCAATGATTGCTAACAATTCAAGCTATGAAAACCACTTGAAACTTTGTGACCTTTCCACGCTTGAAATATTGATTGGAAAACTTAACTCATGAAAAGTTCCAGCTGCGACTCGAAAAAAGCAATTTGACGTATTTTAATTTATTCGTTCAAAATGTTTGCTTGAAAAAAGGTTTGCGGTTTTTCGAATTGATTCAAGCTAAGAATATTACGTGATATGTATCATTTTCAGCAATTGAGGGGCTTGTTGCATGGAATTAATTCAAACAAAAAAATTAGTGACGTGGCAACTAAGCTGACCATCTTTGAGCAGACACCAACTGAACCGAAGAAATTTTTATGAATTTCTTTTAAAAAATCGTTCAAACGCTCCCTTGAAATTAGAATGAACAACATTTGCACTTGCAACTATAAGGAAAATTGTCTACAGCACAATCAAAATCCGTAGTGCCAAATTAGCCGGCAAAACCTGAGCGAAGAAACCAAAAACCAATAATTCATTTTTCTCAGAACTTTTTTTTTCAATTTCCTTCATACTGAAAAAAAAACAAGATCCAGCCAGGACTCGAACTGAAAGCTGATATAGATTTTCTATATTGATTTGCATCAACTTGTTCTCTTATATAATTTTTGAATGAGTCTTGTTCGTTTTGAGTTATACTTTGAGTTTCATTATGATTTTCAGCTGTGAAATTTTTCGGCTAGCTATATGCATGAAAATCGTGATTTGGGAGCTTCAAAAAATTGGAACAGACGTTATTAATTAATAAAGGTCAGTTGCATATTTCAGACAACTTTTGCATGCATCTGTTTTTTCAGGCAGAAAGCATCTGTCAAGGACACCTAGAAATTTAAATTTGCATGTTAAATTGTTCAAAATTGGCAGATTGCTTTTTAATTAAAAATTAACTAGCAAGCACGCCTCCAATAATCAATTGACTTGCTAAAAAATAGTCGTTGTTCAGATCAAGCTATCGAAGCAATGAAACTTTGAACAATTTCGATTTGAAAATTTAAAATGTTTCATGAAGCAAATCGGATGGCGAAATTTCAGGTTCACTATGGAAGCAATTAAAACAAAACTTCGAAATATTTCAAGTTATTTCATTGACTGAATCAGTTCCAGAAAATTTTAAGTTGTTCTAAGCAAGCTTTTGCAGCTAGAAATTTTAAAACAATTCAGGTTATTTTACAAATTGAATCAGTTTGCTAAAAGCTTAACGTTTTCTAAGCAAGCTTCTTAAGCTATGAAACTTTAAAATATTTCAAGTTGTTTCGTAGACGAAATCGGTTCACGAAAAACTTTGATATTTTCCTGAACACGCTTTTAAAGCTATGAAAAATTTTCAAGTTAATTCATAGACTGATTTGGTTTACGAAAAATTGAAAATGTTCCGAGCAAGCTTATAAAGCTATAAAAGATTTTCAAGTTAATTCATAGACTGATTCGGTTTACGAAAAATTGAAGTTTTTCTAAGCAAGCTTTTAAAGCTATAAAATTTTGAACTATGTCGAGTGTTTTTAAGACCGAATGGTTTTGCGAAAAACATAAGTTTATCGAAGCGAGCTATTAAAGCTCTGAATCTTTTAAATATCTCAATTTATTTCAAAAGTCAAATTAATTTGCGAACAGTTTGCTGAAAAAGGTTTGCGAAAAGTTCTGCTTAAAACGGTACGGTTTATGAAATGACTTGAAAAATTTTTGTGAGCCCATTTTTCATGTGAAAAAATTTTGAAGTATGTCAAGTTGTTTCATAAAGAAAATTGACTTGCGAGAAGTTTCAATTTTTCTAAGCAAGCTAATGAGGCAATGAAAATTTGAATTATCCAAATTTTTCACAGAGCAAATTGATCAGCGAAAAGTATGTTTTTCTAAACAAGATATGCAAGCGATGAAACTTTGAAACACTTCAAAACTATTTCATAGCGGAAACCGGTTTGCAAACAGTTAGTTTTTTCTAGCACGGAGGTTAATGTTTTTAGTTGGTTCGTTTCAAAATGAAATCAATTTGAAGAGGAAAAATTTCGGAAAAAATGGACCGGCACTGTCTAGCCTTGAAAGTGAATTGAATTCATCTTGTCTAAAGAATTGAATTTTTGTCAAAAATAGTTCTAGAATATTCCAGACTTAAGAAATATTAAGCCTAAAGAATTATTTAAATGTTGCATTCGACAAAGCTAAAACATTGCGTTCAGTTAAACATTGCGTTCAGTTAAACATTGCGTCCATTATAACTTAACATAGTAGTTTGCTGGTAAGAAAACGTTGTGCTTATGCTCAGATGAATTGCAATAATTTAAGTTTGAAAGTCGCAAAAAAAGACATCACACGAGCTTGATTTAAAAATTCAATTTTTGAGTTCACTATAAATGAAAACCTAAAGGGGGAAAAGATGGTTTTATGCATTCCATATCTGGATATAGCTACAAAACTGTTTGAACTTTGAGCCTCTTCGGCTATCGAGCTTTCGTCGTTGGTTGATAAACTGTTGAACAGAAGTCAATTTTTCAATGTATCTGAGAGGTGAATTTGAGCAATTTGCGAATTTGTATTTCGAAAGTGTGATTGAGGGGCTGGAAGGATATGGCTCAAATTCTTCCACCTTGCTCATTAAAATTCTTTTCTTCGCAGCTCTGGATGACATTTAGGTAGCAGCTCCAATTCATATGGAAAACTTGCGTATTCTCTTAATAGCTCTGAAGAGAGATATGTAACGCAATAAAAATCTATTTGTGCAAATTTTCCATGCGAGATGGAGCTAGCAACGGAGCAACTTTTTTCCGCAGCTGCCGACAAAAAAAATGTTTTCATTCATCAGCATGGCGAAGTTTCAATGAGCAGTCAAATAAGGTTTTTCGTTTTTAATTTATTCGCCATATTTTTAATTCATACAGGAATACTCCAGCTTCCACCATTGCCCGAAAACATCCGTTCAGACGAATGGGATCTTTCATCAATCTATAATTCGAAGCTCAATGTTATCTCTTTCATTCAAACAGTTATTTGTTAGACCGAATCGCTTCGCGAATAGTTTAAGTTTTCTTAAACTTTCATCTTTTAAGTCAATTCATGAAGCGAAACAATTTGCATAAAGTTAAAGTTTTTCTAAAAATTGAAATATTTCAAATTATTTCACAGCGCGAATCAATGTATTAAAAAGTAGTTTTTCCAAGCATCGGAGTTTTCGTTTTTAGTTGATTCGTTTCAGTCTAAAATGATTCTTTGAACGCAAAAGTTTGGACAAAAAGTGGGCAGGTTCTGCCTAGCCTTGAATAATGAAAGTGCTAGGAAATTTTTGCCTTTACTCCTCTTGAAGTATTGAGGTCCATGGTTGCTCGCAATTATTTTTAATCTTTTGACGGTTGATCGAACGCTTCTCAAACGTTGCGCAAAATAAAAATTTAAAGCTTTGCATCCATAGCGCATTCTGACTTTCATTTATTTGATAAAGATCGAAACAACTGTTTATGGCATATTTCATTGTACCTTCATTGCGAATCATTACTCGAACACTATGACCAAAAAGTTTGATCTGCTGAGCCGTGAAGTGACTAGACATTGGCATTTAGGATCTTATTCTGATTTCTGATATCTATTGAAAATAAATGATATCCTATCCGTTCAGTTTGAGGCTTTTTTGCTCTGCCTTTGCTTCAAGTTAGCATGCAGCATAAATGAAAATCTTACCAATATAACCAGCAGAAAGTTTGAAAATGTCAATGCACTCAAGGAGACTAAAAAAACTTTAATGTTTTCAAAGGAACGACGAAAAAAAATGTACTGAAGAGTATGGAAATAAATAATCAAAAATGTATACTATCTTTGAGCTCTTCGAATTTCCAGAGATAAAAGTATAATCCAATTACAAAAAAGGAGCGAAACGGTAATTTTTTTAATTCCAGTGAGATACCTAAAAACTATTTTAGGAAAAAGCAAATGAAGTAGGTGAAAAACAATCAAAAGTGAGGTATTTTAATAGCTGAAATAAACGTAGTCCTTACTCAATTTTTCAAAGTCAGTATGATAATCGAAAACGATCACACCAGGTTTTCTCGATACTGCTTCATCAATTTTAAAACCACGCGATTTGAGAAAAATGGGAGCCATGGCTAAAATTTGTGATTCTTTCGAAGGTCAGCTCTGTCGTTATTGGGGAGCGTAACTTGCCTTACGAGCAATAAATGTATTTAAATTGAACCAAAAATCGAATCAAAAGTCAAAACACGAAAAAATCAAACTACCTAAATAAGTCTTTTTGCTCTTAAACAAAAATAAAATTAATTGCGACAATTTTTATTGGTTTTACGCAGTATTTTCGGGAAAAAATACACTAGGTCCTTTATAGCTCTTGAAATACGGAGTGTTACATAATAAAAAAACTAACTTGCGTTTACTTTAGTCCAATAGTGCACCATACTCGGTATCAATTTTAAGTTCTCCTGTAGTAATTAGGGCGGGCGAATAAAACAAGGACACGTATAATTGAGCGACTGCCTGAAAAATATCTGGGTTATAAAGACTGACATTTTACACTCCACGTCCTTGAAGGAAAAGGTCGAATTCAAATATTCAATTCTCAAAATATTTTTCGAACAAACCAATTAGCTAACCTGCTTCGCAACACATTTAAAGCAATAAAATAAATATTCGACACCTCAAACCAATTCACTTTTTGTATGACTAAACAAAATTTAGCTTATTTAAATATCTTTGAGCACCTAGAAAGAAAATCTAAATTTAACATCCTGATTTGTTTTTCGACTCACATTAGTTCAAACTTGGATTAATTATGCGGACTTTAAAAGTAGATTTTCTTTTCAAATTCAGGAGTATTTGTTTTTCCAAAAGCTGACTATTCAAAAGACTATGTAAAATACAACATTGAATTTATGCGAAGCTCAAAAAAATCCTCTTGAATAGATCCAGGTGCATGTTACACATTGTTTGTCAAAGTTAATTTAAGAAAGTCGAAAATGAGTCTTTTGTTTCCAACTGCTTCTTCTGTAAATGGGAGGAACTGTTTCACATCACATCTCCCCTCTTTGTTTAATTAGCCGTAACTTTGGCGCCTACAGTGAGCGATAGTGGGAGGGTCTTGCTTGGGCTGGAATGGCAGTGTATTGTTTAGGGAATTCAAACTGCACCTCGTCCGTGGAGGCTGCGAACGGCATGTATCCCGAATTGGGAATCACATTCCACCGTAGTACCAGTTTGGCCGGCAATCCCCTGTAAAAAGTGTTATTCCGGGTGAGACACAATTAAACAAATATAGAGTTAAGATTTTTTTGCTGCGAAACATTGTTCAGAGGGACTGAGATTCTTGTCAGAACATTTCGTCGATACGTACAAATAAAGCATGGAGATAGAAACATCAAGTGCCTCAAGATGAAAGCAGGTGCCTTAAGTGAATTCAAATCTAAAACAAGCTTTTCTTGTCTACCACCGAAACACCAATCCTGAAACACCAAATCTAGGTTTTTTAATCTAAGATTGAGCTTTGCAGCAGAAAGAATCAATTGCAACTAATATGAGCAATATTTTGCACTGATGAAATCGGGAAGGTGATCTAGTCTAAGAAATCAGCCCTTGTGAACAATATTTTCCTTAAATAGACCAAGTGAACCATCTTCCTCCTAAAATTAAATGACAGTAATTCAAGCAGTAACACATGCATGTACTATGCTCAAATCTGATTGGCAGAAAAATGTGACTTTTAACCAAGTTTAATCTGCCTCCTAATTTGATTTAGGCGAGGAAATTGTTCACTTGGTCCGAGAAATCTACCAAGTATTATTAGCAGAACAATCTTTCTATGAGAAGCATGAAAGAAAATGGTTGTTAGTGGATGGAGCTTGCCTGAGATTGGCTCCGTCATCGAAGAAGTAATACTTGGGACTGAGGTTGTCTACTGAAAACTTCTCTACATCTGCGTCCTCTCGCAGCATAATTCTATCCCATAGAACGACTTGATTCAGTTGCTGAAACACATCACATCATATCACAACACACGTTACGCACTCTTACAATACTCTTGGTGCGGTGGGTGGGGTGGATCAAACACAAGAAAAATTGTTCGCCTAAATCGACGTTCCTACTGGCAAAATTGAATTGGCATCTTATGGACGTCTATCGTTTTTGGTAAATGCAGAATGACGTCAATATATTTTTTCATCTTCAAAGCCTTTAATTTTCTTGGCGACATTTCACAAAATGCCGCTTTGGAAACAAAGAGTCTATGCAGTCTATGAAACTATTACAGAGTCAATAGGTATGAAGGGAAACACAAATGTGTGAATGTATGCCATGGCTACACAAAAGAAGCAAGGAAAACGGAAAAAGAAACTTTAACAAATAGATTCACAGGTTCAGAACATGGAAAAATTGCAGGTTTTGAAGAACAGCAACACGAGTGACAGCACCGCAAAACACGAGGAGAAATACCTAAGCTTGCATCAATACAAAGCCCCAAAGGGAACGAACAAACCAGAATGACTCGATATACATTAGAAAATCCAACTTCATTATATGCTCAAGTTTTATGAGCCCAACTAAGAACCATGAATTAAAAAATCAACTTTGTAGAGAAAACTACCTGATTTTACTCACAAAAACGTATCTAACAACCAAAATAGAAAAAACTTTAGTCAAGAATTTTATAGTTTATAAAGCAGATTGAGAACCGTATGCCTCCTCAGAAAGGTCAAGACAAGAAGTGGTGATCGGAATAAAAAACGAGATAGCCAAAGCTAATAAACCAATGACTCGTACGAATACTCAGAAAAGAACCAGTCGACAGTAAAATGAGGATATCCCTCAAATACCATTTAAGTAAACAGTTCAACGAACTAAACATCGAAGAAGATTTAACGACCATTAAAGAGCTGCACACTTCATATGATATAAAACCCAGACGTTGAAAATCTCGCCCCTATCGGAGTGCTGAATGACTCGCCACCATTGGGACCAAAGGAAATCGAGAACCTCGAGCAAAATTCAAATAGGGAAGAACGGCAAGTGAAAGAGGCGCAACTCGGAAGCGGTTCTTGCCGTTAACTATATCATTACTAAATCACATACAGGCGAAGCAGAGCTTCGCAACACTTACGATACAACAAAAAACAATAGTTGCAAGAAAATGAATAGAAAAAGACCACTTTCAAATTAAGTAGAAAAAACTACTTCAAAAGTAGAAAAAATCTCAATACAAAATTTTCATGATTCTATTGGATGACGTTCATAAACAGCCTTGAAATGCATTGTGAAACTAAGGCTAGCTAAGGGTTCAAAATTATGGTCGACTCCTGTTGAGCCAAAAACAAAACTGTTGTCAAAAAAATTTATCGAGCTTCAAAGTTTTTAAGACGCCTTTGTAATGAAACACATAAAACCTTTAAGGCCAAACCGATTCTTCTGTTAGGCCAAACCGATTTATTTATATTTCGACTTATAATTGTGAACAAAAGATTTTGAGATGCTGCTGAAATCTGATTCGCTAATTTTAGCCAATCAGACTGAAGCAAATTAGTTTTAATTCATGATGTTGCAATAGTGATCTTTGGGCGGAATAAGTAAAAAGACCCTTGAAGGCCACTAAACTAGTTCACTTACTGACTTTTCGTTTTCTCAATCAATACTTTGCTGTTTGTACACATGCTGTTATTTCAATCCTGACAATGAAACTCAATTTTGGTGCAGTGTGAACGTTCATTGTACCGTAATCTGTTTCAGATAACAAAAAGCACAAGCTATCAAAAAGCTGTAAAAGTGCACCTAAAATGGCACCAATATATGCGACTTAGGTTTAAAAAAAGAACAGTCGTACTAATTCACTACGCTCACGAAAGTTCGCCAGTGAGATGAGAGACAGGAAAACGTCGGAACAACGTCAACAATATGATGTCGAGCAGAATTTGGAAATAACATCATTCGTCAAAACTAATGCTTGTGAATGGATATTTTTTATGTCTGTCTAGTAATTTAGAAAGCAATTGAAAGCCAAACCGATGTTTAAAGCTTGGAGTATGTAGCATGGCTCTAACTTATAAAGAGTAAGAGCAGCAACCAGAAGATTTCGACGATCAAGATAAATTAAAATGGCGAAAGAAGTAAATTGAGACCGAAAATTTTTTGGAACTATGTGAGACAAAAAACTGTGCTAGAAAAGGCAGTACCAGCATTAGTTAAAGCAGATGGAACGTTGGCAACAAACGAGACCGGAAACATTGAGCTCCTATCAATTTTTTTTCCTTTTACAAATGAACCCCCTGGTGAGTGGAAAATTCTAGATGTAATTATCATTTGTCAAAAGATCGACGAAATAAAAATTACGGAAAAAACAGTGAAACAGCAATAAGACGTGATTAAAATTTCAAATCACCAGGACCACAAAAAATCCACCCGAAACTATTGTTTGAATTGAGGCTACAATTAGTCCATCCATTGACAAAAATTTCTAAATCTTGGAACGATAATAAGTTACTCGGAAACTCGCGCACATAGCTTCAATTTTTAAGAGAGGAAATAAATCGTTGGCGGACGACTAGAGACCAGTAAGCCTTTCATCAATTGTTTGTAAACTTCTTGAAACAATCATCAGGCCTCATTTAATTAATCATCTGAACAGAAAGGAAATCCTTGTAAATAAATCATTGAATTAAATAAAAGACTTCATTTCTGAAAAGCAACAGAGTCAAAATCAACGATAGCAAGTCAAGTTGGAAAAATGTCCATAGTGGTATTTCACAAGGTTCTGTCCTCGGTCCAGTCTTATTTCTAATGTAAATCAACTCAAGGCCAGCTTCAGTTGTATCAAACCTATACCTATTTGCTGGCCATGCGAAAGTATAAAGCGAGATAAAGGATGAAATGGACGTTACAATCTTTCAAAAAATGCTGGAAAATTAGTCGAGAAACAGCCTTTTTTTTTCATTGACGACATATGTGGAAATATATTTGCAAATAACTGCACATAAACTTGCGTTCGAAGCACATATTTTCACCTAAGTGAAAACAGCTAATTCAATCATTGTAAATTTCATGGAGACTTTCAACGAAATGACTACACCTGTATTTTTGAACGTATATAAGGGAATCATACAGCATCATCTTGAATTTTGCAATCGCACTTGGCGTGCTTCAAGCTTACCACGCTTGCGCTCCTAAGAGGTATAAGAAAAGTATTTTTAGTGGGACGGTCCATAGGATTCATCATGCGTCGTCAACTTGGGAACCTTATCACCTCGGAAAAGAGAAGCTGAAAACGATGCTGGAACGGAATCAGTATCCGCCCGATTTCTACAATCTTATCATCAAAGAGACAATGGACAACATTCTGAGTGGTGGAGAAAGTCGTGCTGCAGGTACAATGAAGGAGAAAAAGTTTGAACGACGAGCCACTCTCGTCCTTCAGTACCGCGGAAGCATTTCTGATAAACTCAGTCAATGTTTCAGACGTCTTTGTGGATCAAATGTCATTCTCATGACTCAGAAACTCAACAGTCTCTTCCTTCCTTCAAGCCGAAGATCGACACTGAGCTCAGCAGTAGAGTTGTTTATAAAATGCAATGTACAGGTTGTTCTGCCTGCTATGTCGGCCAGACGGTACGACACTTGAAAACACGTCTAGCTGAGCATCTGGTATCATCAACGCCTGTTGGGAGCCACTCGGCTTCTTGTGGCGGCATTGACTGTAATGAACTCTCTTAGTTGACAAGACCCCGGACTATGCATTGTTGTTAACTCTCGAAGCGCTGCATATCGACCGCTTGAAACCTGATCTCAACACCCACTAGCGCTTCCTGACCATCAGGGTGTAGTAATGAGTCTTTCGTTGTTGTGAGGTTTCTCACCACGAAAGAGTTGCTTTTACTTTTGGTGCTATGTCACATTGCATTTCTGCCTTTTGCTTCTTATGTGTTATTAAGTTCGCACATTTTTCAGATGTTATTTGCTGATGATGAGTTAGTAACTCGAAAACGTTTCTAATATAACATTGATCCCAGACTGTTTTCTCAAACTTGATATCCGCGACAAAAGTCAAATCTTTAGTTGCATTGCCTGTGGCGATGTTATGCACATGACAAAAACATGCACTGGAATATCTGAAACTGCCATCCTTGGAATTTCGGAGATCAGTCAGAACGTCCTCCTGCTCTGTAACTGTTGTGTTGGAAACAATAGGAAAGAGTCGATGATCAACGATTTGATGCAATCTCGTCCATCCATTGCCGAAACAAAACTAAATGAAATCGCCGAACAATTCTCTACATTTAAACAAGAGATAGATTCACTAAAGCAAAAGATAGATGAAACAAACAAAAAACCACAAAACAGAAATGAGCCAAAGCAACATGCCTTAAACAAACCAGAATCAAGCTATAACGGAATCCGGATAAGAGGACTGCTTGAACTGGACTCAAAAAATTCAAGAGATAGACACGAACACGACTTGGAAGAGGTGAACATACTGTTTGCGTTCTTAACAGTTGAAGCAAAAATCACAGATTTAAAACGTTTAGGAAAATATGAAGAAGGAAAAAGGCCACGCACAATAGTTGTAAATGTATCAAATGAATAGCAAAAACTACTGATACTAATGTCCTTGGCCAAATTGAAAAACTACGACAAAACTCTTTTTGTGTCAAAAGAGCTCAGCCCAAGTGAATTTCTGATTGAGAACAAACTTCTTATGAAAAGACGAACAATGATAGAAACTGGCGTACCAGCTCAAAACCTAAGGCTAAGGGACCTTGTCCTTACGACGAAGAAAGTGGAAATTGGAAAAAAAGTCGAAGAAAGCAATTGACTACCTACTGGTAAGTATTTAAAAAATTTATGCCTAAATGTCAGAAGTATTTTAGACATCAACAGAAGAACAGCTCTATCAAATGCCATTTTACAAACAGACTACGATATACTATGTCTCACAGAGACATGGCTGGTAAAGGAAATACCAGATAAAGCTCTGCATTTGGCTGGTTTTAATATAATTCGCAAAGATAGAAAAAGCTCCACTTTAAAAACCAATCTCGGAGGTGTACTCATGGCGATAAAAGAAAATGTGCATTACGAAGAAATTGATGCTCAAATAGAAAATGATAAATGCATAGTGGCCAAACTAACAGGTGAAACTGGGCATCATCAAATTCTTTGCTGTGTTTATAATTCCCCGAAAAACAGTAAATACCAATGGAAACAACAAAAATTCATCAGTTTGTTCAAAAACTTAACAAAATTACAAATACAACACAACCGTAACGCAATAAATTTTGAATACACTCGTTGGAAAATGATGCACTCTAAGGACGAATATGAAAATACAGTGTTAAAAAAGCTCATTGAACTTGACTATGAACAATTATTCGACTCCAAAAAAAGCAGCTTATACAACACAATAATACAACACAATAAATTTTGAATACACTCGTTGGAAAATGATGCACTCTAAGGACGAATATGAAAATACAGTGTTAAAAAAGCTCATTGAACTTGACTATGAACAATTATTCGACTCCAAAAAAAGCAGCTTGACGTTTTATTAACAAACAACCCTGGAGTGATACTCAACTGGCACACGGACCAAACAGCAACAAACGCATACAGCATTGACAAAGTTTCATGCTCAGATCATTATGCTTACTCTGCAACAATTAACATGGAAGCCAGTATCAAAGAAATAAACAAAGGTGAAAGTCTGGCATTTAACAGAGCCGATTGGACGACAATAAATCAAGAAATAAAAGACAAACCTTTCATACCGTATTGTTACAGTAATGTAAATGAGCTGCGTCAGTGGTATGCATGGTTATGGGACAAAATAAAGAACAATTTACCCAAGGTTACATCACACAGATCAACTCTCCCCCCGTGGGTGACACCAAGTACGTCTCACATGCTAAAAAGAGTACAAACATTAAAACGGCGTATTGATCGGCAAAACAAACCTACTTTAAACAAACCTACTTTAAGCCTTATCCTAAAACACAAAAAAACTGGAAAAAGTCTTCAAATAGCATTGACTGAAGATCAAGCAATTTACGAAGAAACAGTAACAAGCAGTAGACGATTCAGTGACCTACAAAAATACTTGAACAAATTAAGTAGTTCCAGGCAATATCCCCAAAAAATGTTTTACAAGGAAAAATCCACTAGAGATGTCACCCAAAAAGCTACATTTTTAAACGAATTCTTCATCAGTGTATATCAAAAGGAATCAAATCCTAACCTTCTCGCACGAAATACAAACTGTTCTCCTACAGAAGAATTCTGTACACAAATACACATTGAAGAAACCAAAATCTAATTCATTCTCAAAAATCTTTTAAAAAATAAAGCATCAGGCTTTGATGGTATAGGCAATATAATCCTAAAAAATCTTTCTGAAACTCTGTCAAAATTGCTCTATCTTCTCTTCCGCACATTCATTAACAAGTGGCTCTTCCCGACCTACTGGAAAACAAGTCAAGTGGCCCCAATTTTTAAAGAAAAGATCAAGGCGTCAGTTGAGTGCTACCGCCCAATTAGCCTTTTATGCTCCGCCTCGAAGGTCTTCGAAAAAATTATCTTTGATAATATAATATATACCCCAAAGTTCAACCTTTCTTGGAAAACGCACAATACGGCTTCCGGCAAAAAAGGTCAGCAGTACTTCAAATGCTACAATTTTTGAGCAAAGTATATGAACTCTACGATGACAAAAATGTTCAAACACTATCAGTCCTTTATCTAGATTTTTCTAAAGCCTTTGATAAAGTTCCTCATAGTATCCTAATCGCTAAACTGCGGAACATCTAGGCATTCAAATACAAGACATAATACAAGACTATCTAACAGATAGAATGCAATTTGTGAAAATCAATAAAAGTTCTTGGCCCTCTACTTTTTATCATATTCATTAACGACTTTCCCAAATGCATTGAGAATTCGGATTGTTTTGGCTATTGTGACGATATGAAGATCTTGTCTATTGAAGAAATTCATCTGCAAAAAGACACGACAAATGTTGAAAAATGATGCAAAGAAAAAAAAATGCCGCTGAATGAAGATAAATGTAATCTGTTAAACCTCAAAGGGAAAATGGAAGTTACACTATTTAATACAAATGTTGATACCGCAAACACCCAAAAAGACTTAGGTATTTTAATGTAGGACAACCTTTCGTGGTCAGTAAATGCTGAAAATCGCATATCAAAAGCAATGGGAGCTTTTTACAAAATCAAACGGAATATCTCGAAAAAAAACATCATTAAAGTCAAAATTAAACTTATACTGTGGATACATTGTACCAATCATAAGCTATGCATCGCATACATGGTATCCGAACATAGCTGAATTAAGACAACTAGAAAGAGTACAAAAACGAGCGACTTCTTGGATTGCAAATAACTTCAAAATGAGTTATACTGAAAGACTGAAATTTTTAAAGCTCCTTCCACTCTCAATGTACTTTGAATTACACGACATATAGTACTTAGTTTCACTACTAAAAAATAAACATGACATTGATTTGAATACAATTATTCATAAAAACGAATCACGAACGAGACAAGCAACACGTGGTGAGATTGCTGTTCATGCAACAAGATTGAAAAAGTCAAATGAAAATTATTATATACGTTCTAATACGCTATACAAATACTTTAGCCAAATTGTGGACTTCGAAAATCAAGATTATGACAGCCTGAAAATATCTATAACAAACACGTATTGGAAATTCTTCAACAGAAATTTTGCAGAAAACCACTTGTGTATGTGGAGAATTCTTTGCTGGTGTGGAAACTGCAAGCAACCGGGAAAAATTATGAACTTATAAACGAGGGTTCAAAACCCATGGAGAAATCCTAAAGCCTACCCTACTACTACTACTACTATATAAAATTATTGGAAAATGTTCAACGAAGAGCAACTCGAATGGTTACTGATTTGAGGGAATTGAACTATTGAGAAAGACTGTGAAAGCTAGACCTACCGTCCCTTAAACACCGTAGAAGACGTGGAACAATGATTGAAATGTTCAAAATTGGTTATAACCGTTACGATCCACAAGCGACAAAAAGTTTATTTGAATTAAAAAACAGAAACATAACGATAAATGACGAGAAAGTTGCGATGAAAAAAACCAATCTCGGAGAAAGGAAACATTTTTTCACTATCAGAGCTGCAACAGACTCGAAATACCTGCCAAGAGAAGTAGTGAATTCCAACGCATTCAAAACCACCAACGCATGCAAAAACAACCTTGGCAGTTATTGAAAGAAAAACGGATTATATATATACGAGACGAGCTGAATGAAAAGAAATATACAATGAACTGATCAAGAGACGCGGCATCGTCGCCTAACTATCAGAATTTAACTAAAGTAAACCTATACTTACGTTGTTGGCTGATTGATACTCGCACACCAAATACATAAAAATCTGTTTCGTATTCCAGTCAAACAGGTTGCTAAGGTTACCATCGATGGAGAATTTGATTGTAGCTAAGTCGCTCTCCTGCCTAGACGTGGTAAAGTCCATTGCACTTCTCCTATCAAAAATCAAGTATTGAAGCAATTCTGACGTCAGACCCCAAATATTCCCAGGGATTAATGAAAAGAAAAATACCGAAAATATTAAAAGCCCCTTTGTCAACGGAGGCGGAGCAATAAGCAGAATGGTCCAAGAGCAGAAAAACAAAAAAAATATTGACTTATATTGGTTTATACGGGCTAATTGATAAAAAACAATTATTAGAATCGTCAATAACTACCAAGAAAACGAATAAATTATGCATGAATTGACTAATTTCATTAAGTTTTCTATTACATTTTTAGAAAAAAGTTCTTGATTAAATTACTCAAATTAGCATAAAATGTTAATTGCTTTGGTATTATTGACGTTTCTGATAATAATTTACAGAACAGCTAAAAAAGCTGATATTTTTCTGTTTTTCTGCTCTGGGACCCATTCTGCTCTTAGATCATTCTGTTGTAATGGCCACGACCGAGAGTGTCAATCGTTTGGAATAAGCTTCCATATCTAGAAAATTCCAAGGATTTTGACTGGAATACGTGATGAAGGGACTCCTGACTGTAACCTCGGTTACTATGATACTTCTGACCTTCTGATTACAACTTATTTAAAAAAAAACTTAAAGCTTCAAATGAAAATGGAAGGATGGAAACTGGGCATGTAATGTCTTTGAATTCAATGTACTCTTGCATTTATAAACCAATAATAAAATGACACAAATGTGCTCTTACAGCGTTATGTTATGCTTCTTAATTGGGACGCCTATATTGTAATTTTTGTAGAAGGTTGAAGCGAAGCATCCAAACGCAACAGCGCCCATTACGCTCAAGAAAAAGGCGAAGAGTGCATTCAATCTCGAAGAGAAACTATGCATTGCTAAACTGAAAACAAAACAAAACTAGAAACTTTGTGGTGTCTGAGAGATATTCAAACGTAAGTTCATTCTGGAAAGAAAACATTATTTCTAATAATAATAATCATCATAATAATAATAATAATAAAAATATGAATTTAGCGTACGCAAGGGGTTTCCCCCACAGTTTCAGTTAAGTAAGTTAGACATATTTCTGCAGTTGTTTCGGGTACAGTCGCACAGAATTTTCCAGCTATAGGGGTTGGAGTCATCGAATCTTTTCTCGAAATGCTCCCACATCCATTGCAGCAACCGTCCTTTGAGTCCTATCGTGTTGGTAAAGTCCACTTTTTGAGGAACCAAATTAGCCAGCCTCTTTTCATGAAACCAGAAATTTTTTTCACAAACAAATTTTGCAGGGCGTGTACATTCACATAAACGAGATTTTGTATTAGCTAGGTCATTTTTTGGCGGAAAACGGTCAGAAAAATTGAAGTCGTAGTGATTATTGAGGATTTTAGATAGTAGAAGTAAATTATTGAGCTGAATGTACATGGGTAAAGGCAGTATTCCTAGACGCTGAAGCGACGTTTCGTAATTAGGATCTGTTGCAATCCATTTGCGTGCATTGGGTTGAACACCTTCTAAGAGTTTCATTTCTTCGACGTTCAATTGATAGCAAATTTAATTATATATTTCGAAATTCAATTGTAACATTCGCCCGGAAGATACATATCGACGGATAACAAAACTAAGTCTTAAGACGACTGGCTAGCGTCTAAACAGAGCTTTGCATGTTTTTCACCGTCTCTACCAAGCCAGTACTTTTCGGTGGTCTTTCTTACACCGGGTCGACAAAAACGTCACTGCTCTCCGGCTTCGACCAGAACGCTCAAATTAACTGAATTACATGCAAAATTAGTGAGCTCATGGCTGGGTCTCAGTATCCCCAGACCACGAGGTCACTCCTAAAAACAGGGCTACTACTTATTATATTACTATTGTTTTTGTTCAGTAGATAAAAACCATCATCTCCATCGAAGATGGATCAACCCTTTCCCCCACTCCTAGCTTCTCATCCTTATCAAAATGAATCAAGTTGTTAATTAAATTCAATTCAGGACATGACAAGAAGCTAAAAGTTTATATAAAAGGCTAAAAGTTCCAGTCCCGAAACCCTTCCGGATTCTTGAATCCAGTGAATCAAGCTCCTCAAGTTCAATTTCACGCCAATCCGGAAGGCCGGTTCTCACCCTTCACCGTTGTTGGCAACGGCCTTGCAACTATTGTAGCAGCACAATAGTTGCAACTTGGAACGTTCTCTGCTATTGTAGTTCGTTGTCGTTTTTCTTTAATCTCGATTTTCGTTCTGTTCGCAATCACAGATAAAGTTGTTCTGTTTTTCTTAGTTCTTTTTCTAAAATGGCAGTTTCTGACGTTTCTCAGAAATGTTACGTCATCTCTTCGAAAATTTAAAATTTTAAAATACGGGAATATCCTGACCTTCACCGTTCTGCCAATCATCCGAATAACGTCGTTAATCCTTCGAAATCATCAACTCGGAAGGCTTACTGCTAAAAATTCGAAGTCTGCATAAATTGCATTTTGGCCATTCTGGTCGAATGTCACATACTCCCCGGACAGTCCGGTCAATGTCCCTATTGAATCGCACAATGTTCGTAAAATGGTTACAGTGTCATCGAACAGAATTTACAAAATGCACGAAATTACCCTTATCTACGTCACATCGACTCACTGCAGAATATAAATGGCATCATACTACATCACTATAGCCTTCAAATTCTTTCATTAATCTGCACACTGAGGATATAACCTAAGATAAAACATATTTTCTGACTTCCAATGTCAATGTCCCGATTAAAACTTTTTCTCTTAGATTCAAAAGGTGTTGGCTTGCAGGACAGTCCTGCCAACCAACAAGCTAAAATTATCCTACTATGCTTCTTCCCTTCGGAAATCTTGCTTATTTATTGTCCTGAATATTAAAACTAAGAAACTTTGTGGTTAGAAAGAACAATGTAACAACCTCCCTCTTCAAGAGATTACTCAAGTCTTTCATGTCACCACAAAGTGATCAGTCTTCCTAAGTGATTAAAAACAATCATGCAGGCTGAAATATTTAAATATACTCTCCTCTTAAGCCTTTCTAAATAAATAATAAGTGAGTGTCTCTAAAGCCACTTCAACTAAAACCAAAATGCAAATTTATAAATGCAACAATTTCAAAACTCAACAAAATGTTTCAGTTTTCAATTACAACTTGGTTGCTTGGTTTCTCACTTGAGTTTTTCACACACATAAAACAATTCTGAGTTTTGACTTTTCTTCATCATTCCTTTGTTCTCCTCTTTTTTCGTCGTTTAGAAGTTCTAAAACTTCTAAATTCTTCTAATTTTCTTTCTTGCCGCCTCTTGTTTTCTCGACCATTCGTCAATGCTCTATTTCCTCCTCCTGTGACACTGACTCCGCACTTTCGGTTTCCGTGTCTTGTAGCACGTCATTGACTATCCTGACGCTGTTGGAAGCCGTCCTCCAACACTTCTGCTCTTCCATTCTCTGTTTCTACAGAAGCTGTTGTGGAGACACAACGTCACGTTTCTCTCCAAATCTTCTTTCAGCATCTCTGCCTTCTCATTTCCACTACGCTCGCTCGTCCTGGAAATTCTTTTCACAGCGGTGGTCACTGCATTCCGATGGGTCACGAAAGCTCGCTTGAAAGCTCCTGCCCCAATGTCCAGCTGATATTCACTGTATACTCTGCCATGCTTCGACATGTGCTTTTTCGCATACTCGTACAACCATGCAGTCATGTTAGCTCTGAACCATGGCATCAATCGTTTTCTTGCCCATATCTTCTTCACTTCCATCGGAATGTTTAGAACTTTGCACATTGTCTCAAAAAGATCTAAATCTTTTAGACAATCTAATTTCCGTAATTGTTCTCTCGTCGGTGCCTCCTGTCTATTATTTTCTCTCACATGAGCTTCCAGCCATCGTATCGCCATCATAACTCCCACTATCACTATTGTTATGGGCTGTGATGAATCTGGTAAACCCATGGAGAGCAGCTCTCCAGAGTCCCAGATCAACACCAAATTACTACGCTTGGGATACCACCAGGTCTGCAGCAAGCAGTGGCAAGGAAACTCGTCATGTGTCAACATGATGCTCCTCCAATTGCGTTTTCCTGAAGCTTCCAGCAATGGTTCCACTTCCATCATCACTCGGTGGATTTCATCATTCTCGTCTACTGCATTGTAATCTGTGACAGTTGATCCTCTCTGTTTCTGTTTTTCAAAGTCACTGAAGTTCCCGCTCACATATCCCATGAACTTCTTTCCTAGTATTGACTCCAACTCCACTTTGGTTCTCTCTGGAACTGCTGAGAACATCTTACATAGTAACTCGTAAGACTTTTCAGACATTCTCGCCAATCTCACGCACTTTGGCACTGAGAAAGCTTGATCCACGATCGTTCTTGTACTCTTCACGTCCACGGCCACGAAATGTACAGGGTATCTGCTCTTGCACATTGGAGCCAACGTTGAACCCACCAAATATCGTGCTCCTGATGGTCTACAATAAGTTTCGCTGTGTCTGATGTTCATCTCTGTTTCGATTGCCTCCCTCCATTTTCCTATATACTTCTGCTCAGTCTGCAGAACTCCTGGGAATACTTCTACGCTGATGGCTGTGACCATCTCATGTTTCTGTTCTAGATTCAATAGTGACTCTAAAGAACCAAACATGCTGTAGAATCCTATAGCTGTCACTAGATTCACATCGGTTCCTCCATGGCAATCTGCTATCAGTTCCGTTTCCGTTCTTGCTTTCATCACTACATTTCCAAACAATACTGTCAACTGCTTGTGTTGTTTCTCCAGGGTTTTCACACAGTCTAGACTTCCACAAACGTGACCCTCTAGTCCACAGACTTCCGCCAGACAGCTACCAGGTTTGACCCAGTCTTCTGGTCCCCAGCCAGGCAACTCCACTTTATCTTCTCCGTTGCTCTTAGAGGCTGTTATCATCACATTATTTATGATGTTGAGGTCACGCAGGTTACAGTCCGCATTCAGTTCCCTCTGTATGTCTTGTGTCGCCCGTAATATTGAGTCAGCGTTGGGACTAGGACACCATGATGGCTTCATCAATTCCCACACTGCCATCAAGCTCGTTCTCAGTAATTCATCTGAGAATCCCCACCCAAATTCCACTCTCTTGTCGGATTTTGGTACTGAAGGTGCAGTCACCTCTTCTTCCAAGACCAATCCCAATTTGGCCTGTGGATTGTTAACGCTCTTAGTCGTCACAATTCTGGACGTCCAGAATCTTAGTAACACCGCCTGCTCATAATCAAAGAAGCAATCGCGTATGTCTTCACTCAGGAAAGGATTGTATGCTATCCCTATAATCCCGGACACATAGCTATATGACTTCTTCTTGATCGGTCCACAGTATTCACTGGATTTCGGCAATGCTCCCATAGATTCTTTAGTGAGCCTCAACTCCTTGTTTGAGAATCTCCTGATCTCGTCTATCTTTTTCATGGGTTCCAATTCTTCAGGTTCTTTCATGTTCACCCTCATCGGTTTACTTTGCTGCATATCCAGCAATGCTAGTAAGAACATGGCTTTCGTTCGCTCATCGCCTTCCTTCAACATTTTAACACAAGTGCTTAATGCAGGTACTGAAATCTGCTCTATCAGGAATCGAATGAAACAGAGAGCGTCTCTCCGCTTTGCACACGCTACTGCTGCTCCCTCCTGGACTATCAGATCCCTCAGATTCGTCATAAGGAAAACTTTTTCCTCCTTTGATCTCTTCCTTTCTTCTGAATCATATTCTTCGCGATTCAGTACCATCATGCACCAGGCGAGCCTGAGTTGTAATTCTGTCCTTACGTAAGGTACTGCCACGAGAGCATGTATTCTTGGCGTAGTCCTCATTTCTTCTTCGAAATACCTCAATACTACTGCTTTCCATGGAAGGCTCACTAACTGC